TACCTTATGGTTTAATTAATTCCTGGTTATTTTATCCTTTTGAATACTATTGTAACTAGATTATTTCTCAGTTTCCTTTTGAGCTTATTCATTGCTGTTACTTAGAAACACAAATTTTTACATGTGGATGGTATACCCTGCAACTTTGCTGAATTTATTACCTCTACTCACTTTTTCTGTGGATTCTTTAGCATTTTTTTTTCTGTTTATATATACCATATCATTTATGAATAGAAGTGGCTTTATTTTTTCTTTTCCAATTTGGATGCACCTCATTTCTTTTTCTTGCCTGATTGCCCTGGCTAGAACTTTCAGTACAATGTTGAGTGGTAGTGGTGAAACTATGTCTTGTTGCTGATTTTAGGGGGTAAACTTTGAGTTGTTTCCCACTGACTATGATATTAACTGTAAATTTTTAAGTAAAATCTCTATCATGTTGAGGAAATTCCCCTCTATTCCTGATTTTCTGATAGTGTTTAATATGAAAAGGTGTTGGATTTTGTCAAATGTCTTTTTTTGATGATCATGTGCCCCCCATTTTTACCAGTGTTGCATATCACCTTTTTGTACCTCAATAATACCTCAATAAAAATAATAACACAAAAAGAAGTAATTTAAAAGTACACGATATTTAGTTCCTTTTTCCCCCTTTGCTTTTATCCAGTTTAACCTCTCTGCTCTATCAAAGAGGCTAGATTTTAGAAACTTTTAATGCTTTTTAAAAAGAACTTTAAGCCAGTTGATGAATTGAACATCCTTTTCTCCATCTCTCTGTTTTTTTTTGTTTTTTTTTTTTTTAAAGATTTTTTTATTTATTTATACAAGCACTGGGTACAGTCAGAAGCACGGGAGGGCGAGAGAATTCACCAGAGCCAGAGCGGGGAGCAGAGCAGGCAGAAGGACCGAAGTACACTGCTGAGGGGAGCAGCGGGCGGCAGGAGAGGTCTGCGCGCCATGTGGGACCCTCCTCCGGTGGCTGGGGAGCAGCCGGGGATCGAACCAGCGCCGCAGAGGCCGCAGGCAGCTTCGCAACCCAGCGCTCAACCGCTGCGCCACCGGGGAGGCCCTCCATCTCTCTGTTTTTTGCATCATTAACATGAGTTTTGGAGTAGAGTCTATTTCAGGCAGTTTAGTTATATCCACAAGAATCTATTTGTCTTTTTTAGAAAGTCATATCCTTATGGCACTTGAGATTTCTACTTCATGAATTGATTGGATGAATTTGGAGTTGATGCTGAAAGAAAAATTGAAAAAAATACTAGGACTTCCTTGTTTTGTGGAAGGTGAAAAGGTTAGCTGCTCGCTCAGAATGTATTTATGTGAAGACCCTGGCTGCCCAGACTGGGTTTCTGGAGTTGCTGCTACATACTTTCTTTGACTCCTAAAGTTACACTTAAGTTTTTTTGTTTGTTTGTCTTTGACCAGAGGAAGAGAAAGTTTAATAACAACCTGGAGAGACTCAGTAAAACAGTAGCTCCTGTACTTAAGTTTTATATTGTTGTTTTTTTTTAATGTTTATTGAGATAGGGTTGATTTATAACACTGTATATGTCTTAGTGGTAACAAGTTCAAACCTCTACAAATGTGTGTTATCTTAAGTTTTATTTTAAAACTGGAAAATCAGACCTTTAATTTTGAATGTAATTTTATGAGGCACACCTTGATGGTTCTTTGGAGTAAAGGAATACACATCAGTAATTTGCTTAGTTTTAAATTTAGAATTACCTCTGCAAGAATAGACAACTGAGGTCAGGAAATGTGTGCATTGGAAGAAAATAATATCCTTATTTGAAAGAATGGAGTAATCTAGAAAGCTCCCAGTCACAATGTTAAACCGGGTATTCTGAAGATAATACTCTTATTAGTAATTTCATAAATATGCCACCTCTGGTAAAAGAGAGCTTTAGTTTAGTTGTAGTAGGATTAGGCCAATTTTTGTTGGTTAGAAAAATTTGATAGCTTAATGTTTTTGTTGTGTGAATATCCTGTTTGTTGCTTGTTATGAGGTGAGTTGTCTTTAAGAAAAACTTGGTGGACAAAGTTGCACCCCAACAACCCAACAGCTGAGGTTAGAAAGCTTCAGTTCCTTCTTTCTAGAGATTTGTGTGTACTTGTATTTATTCACTGTCTCTGGGCAAGAAAAGAAGACTGCTTTTTTGTTTTACGACAACAATGTGAACTTAGCTAAGGAAATGCAAACCTGTTGGCTCTTGCTAGTTGTTTGACTTGGTTATAACTAGAGCACAGGCTTTGTCTTGTCTCATGTTGGGTGTGTACTCTGTTATATAGCATTGTGGTTAAGGTGAAGGTAATATTTAAATCTGCTTCTGTTAGGGGGAAAAGGATGTCCCAAAGCAAATTCCATACAGGCTTTGTGGACTCCACCCCCACCCCAGGTCAAAGCCAAAAGACACTGGGAACTCCAAATCCCATCACCACCAAAGGGAAGGTGGCTGGGACCTGAGGGTGGGGTTAAGCAGCCAGGTGGATACAAAAGGCAGACACGTGGGCTTTGGGGGGCTCTCCATTTTGGCTCTCCGCCAGCTCGCAGCGTCCGGCCAGCTCAGAGAGTGACTTTGGGTTTCCAGGTCGTCGGATCGGGTAGGACGCATTAAAGACTTTATTTCCCTATTTTCTCCCTGAGTTGTATATTTTCCTTATTTCTTTTTCTCTTGTAAATAAACCTTTCATTAACCCTTTTGCGTGTGTCTGTAGTAGAGTATTCATAAGTCCCTTTAAAGCGCGCGGGTGAGGACCCACAGCCAGGAACCCGTTTAATATTGGGGTTGCTCTATAACACTTCCTGTGAAGTTTTAGGAGAGACTGTGAGTTAGTATAGTAGTAGGATTCTAAATATCTTAGTTTATCTGTTACTCTAAAATTAATATTTAATATGTAGTACTTATTAGGGCTTGGATTATGAGTGCTATTGAGAACTGAAGTTTTGCTAATATTTATAGGACTGAGATTTGTCATGGCATTGTTTTTGGGTGTCAATAGCATAGCTTCAAATTTGTGAAATTTGCTATTCAAAACCTTAATAATGATTGTAATGAATTATAGAAATGATCCCTGAAAGTATAATCTTCTTAATAGTAATTATTCATTTATCCTTTCATTCAAGGACAATTATTCAATCACAATTTAGTGTTATAATTATAATTGGCACCGTGCCATATAATTCATGTTCAGTGGTGGTGTATGACTTCTGTCTTTAGTGGGGCAAGAATTTCATGTTTAAACAATTATTCACATGATAAGAAACAGTACGTAAAGATAGTAAGTGCCACTCATTCATAGGTTCTTTGGTTCCCTCAACATGGGAGGTTGGAGAATAGTAGGACCTGAGTTCTTGGCAATGACTTTAATGGAAGAGATAAGATAAATAGAATCCTGCAGTGTAGGTGTTTGGCAGTCCCTGGTTAAACAAATGAGTAGTTATTACTAATGATAATAGAGGTAATGGCTCCAAGCATAAGAGGGTGAGTTTGTGAGGTAAGAAATTAAGGCGGAGAAAAAATTGAGCAGTTAACAGTAGAAATAAGAGTCCCCTCTGCTTTTCAAAAGCTCATATTAGACCACTTTGCTATTCAAAAGACCTACACGAGTATCTGTTTTCATTAACTAAAAGAAATTCAGAGAGGAATTTTGTTTCTGTGATAAAAGATGAGTAGCAAAAACAGCATCAGTGTTTCTTTGTAGCAGCCAATCTAGAGGCAGTGTCCTGCCAAGCTCCTTCCCCAGAATTACTTTATACAGGCGGTGTGTATGTAATTTCCTATGATTTGGTAGGCTGTTTGGGTGACCTGGGGATGCTCAGAAAATACTTCACATATGTGAATAGTAATTGATTCTTTGCCTTGTGCCATTTTTGCTTCAGATGAACCTTGTGCTTTCAAGGAGGGGAGACCCTTAATGGCCTTTTAATAGCAAGATGAAGAATTTGGATTTGAAATTATAGAACTTTGTTCTTAGAACTTTATAGAATGATTTTACATAGTTTCTAACTGTCCAATAACTTTATAAAAAGGGAAACTGAAAGGCTTGCTGAATAAGTCTAGATGTTTTAATGTTCACTGCTAATCTGCCTGTTACAAGTAGAGAAAGAGAAATGGGACTTTAACACGTGGCCAAATGTAATGATTAGTAAATTTTTTAATACTTGAATGCTGTATTTAATTGACTCACATTTGTTTGGCATCCTAAGATCTCTGAAATGAAGATACATATTGCACTTACTATCAGCCAGGTAGCAGGTGTGATATAATTATCATTTTCTGCACCTGTATGGGCTCAGTCTTCGCTGTCCCCATTGTTGTGACAGTTGAGTTACCTGCCCTATTTGTAACACACAGCTTAACATAAAAACAAACAAAAACAAACTATGAAGAAAGGGTTAGAAGCAGAACAGCGAGGAATACATTTGATTTATGTAGTGCAAAACATTTATTGTTGAAGGAATGATTCAAATGCTTTGGCAAAGCTATCGTCTAGTGCTTTTTGAGGCCTAAGAAAGGAAGATACCATAGGTATGTTAAGGTATATTAGGTTTTGTTACTAAGAAACATGCAAAAGAATTGCCTGTCACATGCTAGGCAGTACACCTGGAAGCAGGGGAAATTGCTCTATTTCTCAACATAAATGAGAAATTTTAGAGCTGCAACTTGCTGATGTGACTGATTCATGAGTCTTCTAGGACTGTCATGAAGGCATTGTATCAGTTTAAGTGGCAACAGTTTTTCTTCTTAGTGAAGCATAAAAGAATGGTGCTTTTTATAACCCATGGCACCTTATAGGTACAGTCAAATGAGTATTTACCTTAGCTTATTAAGAATGGATTGTACTGCTGAGTAATCAAAGTTGTGATTATATAACGGTAGACAAAAATAATAATAAGAAACTAGTTAAGATATGAAGATCAAGGTCAAAATACAAGAATAAAATATTTTCCTTGTTTTGCATTTAATAGGTATTCTTGCCTGTTTTCTTTGTCTTCTCAGATACAGCATGGCATAGTGGTTAGAATGCAGAATCTGGAGTCAGGCAGCCAGGGGTCAAATCCCAGCTCCACCCCTTACTAGCATAACCTTGTGTAAGTCACCTAACCTCTCTAATGTCTAAGTTTTCTGTCAGATGGACATAATATCTATCTCACAGGTTTGCTATGAGAGCTAAATAAGTTGAATTAGCTAATACACTTAAAGTATTTAGAACAGTACCTAGCTAAATGTAAACAGTGTGTGTTAGTTTTTCAAACCTTGAAAATTTCTGTGAATCCTAAGTGTCAATTGATGTACAGAGTAATTTGTGGTAAAGGTGTGATTATCTCATTGTTACTATCTTGGTCCCAGTTTAGGGTTGATGTACTACTCACTTCTCCCTCCCAGTCGTTAATTCAACTTTTTTTCTGGGTATATTGCTTTGATGTTTAGAAAATCATATATGATTAAGGTATATAGACTGATACACCTTTACACAATAAAACCAAATGGAATTAGAATTATTTTGGAAAAAACTTAATGCTTTATTTTTCTAAAAATCATGTGCTTCTACATTTCAGCCTTTGCCAAAGCTAAATCTGCATGCCTTTTTTAGTCCGATAAGTCACTCTCCCAGTTACAGGCAGTGACTGCCTTTGACAAGACTCCTAGCCTCAAAGACTGCTGGTCTCAGCAGGGTCAAGTTCCATTTCAAGCCTATGACTGTGGCCTGTGACTTGAACAAAAAGACTTGATGCTTTTCCAGAGATGATAGAGGGATGTTTCAGCTAGTTATTTCTAGTTGTGTGGTGCTTAAGTGTTACCTTGGGCACTCAGCTGTTGAAGAACATAGGATACTGCTTCTATTGCAGCTGGTGGTACGTGCGGGCTGCCTCTCCTCTGAAAGATAATTCACGCTGAAACATCAAGTATTGAAAGGGGGCTTAATTCTACAATAACCTGAGGAATAGTATAAATTAGATTTGAGCTCACTGAATTAAATTTGAACTATTTCATTTCCAATATTCATCTAAAAGATCATTGTCTTCATTTGTTTGTAGTAGTTTACATTGAACTTACTTGTAAATAGGTATTTTGTGTTAACTCTTGTCTTTGTGCAAAACAAGCTGAAATGGTCCGGTAAAGAATTTTAAGACAGCAAAGAAGTTATAAACCAATCTTGTGGTAGTTTTAGTTAGCACGATTGGTTTTCTTATGATTCAGATTAATGAAGACAAAAACATTCTAGGGTCCATGCCCTCCGCAGTTTTATTTATAATTCAGGACATTGTAGCTTTATCTGTACTTCTTTTCAAGCCATCAGACCTAAAACTTTGAATGTGACGTTGGCGGTGTCGTTTGTTAATTACATGATTGGAAACTTACTGTTAATGAAAAATGACTCACACAAATGGCATGTGCAGAGAAGCTTAAAATAGCGCATCTTCACATCCCTGCAAATTCCAGGACTCCTTCTACGACCTGCCTATGTGCTGTTCAGAAAGAAAATCCTGAAGCAACCTAAGTGTCCATTAAGGCGAGAACATTACATTTAAATGTCTTATATAGCTGTAGTTTTACTCTTTACTCGTATTTCTTACATAAGTGCCCAAGACATTTTCCATGATTAAGCTTTTGAAAGAGTTTGGATTTGGCATTTTCCAGTGTGTCTGAGTGTCAGCACCTTGTTGCTTGGAGTTTGTCAGTTCTTTAAAATAAAAAATGCAGGCCTGTTTATCCAAGGTGATTGTTTGTGCTGCTGCTTTAAATTTATTCAGGTTTATGTGCTGACTGACAGATGTCTGTGGTTTTTTTGTTTGTTTGTTTGTTTCTCAAATACAGAGCTGCCAAATGCTGTTAAATCAACTGAGAGAAATCACAGGCATTCAGGACCCTTCCTTTCTTCATGAAGCTCTGAAGGTTAGTTTCAAGGCCTCTGTTAGTCAACAGACCTTAAAACAGTTGTCCATGTAATAGTTATATCAGCTCAAGCTATTTTTATTACAAAATGATTGCGCATATAGGGACAGAAGCTCTACAGGTCAAATGACACCCAGTAGCTTAACATATAAATTATAAGGGAGGGAGGGTGTGTGTGGGGAAGAATGTGGGGGAGGCTCCTTGAGTAGGAAACCTGGGAGGGTAAAAGAGATTTAAGAAACATTGACCATCTGCATCCATATAAACCATATATAGATCCTGAAACTAAAAAATATTTGAGTCAGGGAAGTTTGAGCTAGTTATTTGATGTTAAAAATCTTTTTTTTTTTTAAAGATTTATTTATTCACACAAAAACTGGGGTATAGGCCAGATGTGCAGGAGGGTGAGAGGATTTATCAAAGACAGCGGGGAACAGAACAGACAGACTGACTGAAACACACTGCTGGGGAGAGCAGCAGGCGAGACAGAAGAGGTCTGCTGCGCCATGTGGGTATCTCCATGTGGCTGGCGGGGATCGAATCGGCACTGCAGAGGCTGCATACAGCTTCACAGCGCTGCGCTCAACCACCTGCACCACCAGGGAGGCCCCTGATACTAAAAATCTTGTTGCTTGTTGGTATTGAAAATTCTATGATACTAGAATTATGGGTTGTTTTTCTTTTAAGATAATGTTGACTGAGGAAATGATAAGGTGGTTAAGGTTTGCTTCATGTCTTGGAGAGGGTAGGCAGAATAGGTCAAAGAAGACTGACCCCGGCTTAATCTTTGCTGCGGCTCAGTGATGAGTACATGGAGTTCAATTATACATTCACTCTACTGTTGTAGGTATTAAAAGTACCGCCTAATAAAAAGTTAAATACCAATAAAAGAGTGGTCACCACCACAGAATATGGTAACTGTTGACATTTTCATTGTGAAGATGACTTCATTTAGAATCTGTGTTGTCGATCCCCTTTTTGATATATTTTGCTTTAGGTATTCTGTAACATCAAAGAGTAGTGGTATCCAAAGCAGTGAGAATAAATCACCAGCAAGATTTCCTCCTTCTTTGCATGTTATGGGTAATCACCCTGGCAACTCCTTTCTTACAACTAGTTTGATACAAACTTAAACCTATTAGATTTACATATCCTCCAGCATATCTTTTTTTCCTATTTTGTACCCTAGAGTTATGCCTCTACTTAATCAGTGTATCAGCAGAGTAGTAAGCCGTTACAACCCAAACACTAACTTGCTACTAATTTTAAATGCTGTGATGCTTTACTTTTGAAATTTCTTTTTCTCCCTCCTTTTAGGCCAGTAATGGTGACATCACTCAGGCAGTCAGCCTTCTCACTGATGAAAGAGTGACGGAGCCCAGTCAAGACACTGTTGCCACAGAACCATCTGAAGTAGAAGGAAGTGCTACCAGCAAAGAAGTGTTAGCAAGTAGGTTTATCCTGTCTTGATCCTGCTCTGAACCAGCAGAAGATAAGGGATGGGTGTATGTGAGTTTCCTATCGGTTACAGCCCTTTGACGATAATGATACTGATAGCTAAGTATTGAACCATTACTATGTGCCAGGCTCAATTCTAAGCACCTAAATGGATTCATTCCTTCATTCTTTCAGCATTTACTTAGTAAGTACTTAGTATGTTCATACCAAGCACTGTCTTAAGATACTGGAGATGAACAAAGGAAGCAAGAATCCCTGCCTTCATGTAGCTTATTTTTTTCTTAGGGGGAAATCAACAGGTAAAATGAATAAATAATATAGTGTATTAAAAGGTGGCTAGTACAATAGAGAAGAGTGAGTGAAAGAAAGGAAGAAAAAGGAGTGATGGGGTAGATTTGAAATATGATGGACCTTTTGAGAAGGTTCGAGGGAGGTGCGGAAATAATTCACTTGAGGATCTGAGATGCTATATAAGGAGTATGTCTTGGCTTGCTTAAGATGCAGAGGGAGGCAGAGCTGAGTCTTAATGAATGAAGAGGACAGTAAAAGGTGAGGCCATAGTGGCAACGCAGGCAGATCACGCAGAGCCTTCCTAAGTGCCTGGCTTTTATGTTGACATAGATGAGTAGCTGTTAGAAAGTTTGGATCAGAGGGATGATGTAAATTGGTTTCCATTTTCTAAAGGTCATACTGACATTTTCTAGAATGATTTTTTTGCTCATTTGTACTCTCACTGAGAGGGTTTGAGGGTAACTATTGCTCTCAAACTTGTTCGATTGTAAAATTGTTGGCCATCTTTTTGACATGAAATGATAACTGTTTTTAATTAGAATTTTTAAAATTAGGAATAAGATTGAATGTTTCCTTGTTGGTCATTCTTATTTTCTTGTAAGTAAAATTTCTCTTCATGTCTTCTGTTTGGTTTTTCTATTTGTTTGCCTCTTTGTTATTGATTCTTGATGTTACCTTATTAATCTTTTTCTTGCTATTATTCTCAACATGTCTCTTATTGATATTCTGAATAGTAACCCATTTTTTTCTGGATTTGTGAGTTGCAGGTATCTTCTCCCTGTTGGTAACTTACATTTTCACATTACTATGATGAATTAAATAATTATTTTACTATAATTTCACTTATCAATTTTTTTTTTTTTTTGGTTGTGCTTTTAGTTTAAGAACTCTTCCACCCGCAAATCATAGTGGTAACGTTTTGGTTTTCACATTTAAATCTTTAATCTACTGAAGTGGATTTTTTTTGTGGGGAGAGGGTAAGGCATTCTTCCTCTCCATCCAACAATTACTCGGTAGTCCCAATGCCTTTTATTAAAAAGGTGATACTTAACCGCTGTATCAGCTCTGTGTTTGTGTTGTTAGAGTGTTCATTTCTTCCATTCTATGTCACTGAGATTCCATTTTCAGTTCTTTGGGATACATACCTAGGTGTGGAATTGCTAGGTGAAATGACAATTCTGTGTTTAGCCTTTTTGTTTTAAGATACCTGAAAGAGAACTTTCATAACTGCAAGAATGTTTTCACACTTTAAAAATTAATAGTTCCTTCTTCTCATTAAATAGAAATTTTCCTGATTGTCCTCTTATTGACAGTATGTTTATAGTTGGCTTATGAGATTAATGAAAATGTTAAACATTAAATATGCTTGAAGTGTCTTTTAAGACTCTTAATCTGTGAATTCACCCTCTTTTTTTCCTTCGTGTCTGAAGAAATCAGGTCCTTTGTTCTGTCAAGTTTCACGTTTTCTGAAATTTGCTGATTACGTTCCCTGTGGTATCTTTCAGTGGATTTTTCTGTCCCTCGTCTTTCCTATAAACCTGGAAGCTTAACTGGCATGACTGGGTCATAGGTCATGTGTGTATACTTTCTATTTTGTCAAATCGTGAAGCAAGTAATGTCTGATTGACCTCTTTGTGTTGTTAAAATGATGGGTGTGTTCAACTGTTGTCAGGTTGATTTATTTTGTAATTCTCCACCTAGTATCTCCAGTAGCCATTGGTAATCATTCCTGAGATTTTATTGGGGATTTCAAAATGCTAATAGTTTATCATTACTTTGTAATTTATTAGTTGAAATTTTTAAAAATTATTTTTAAAAAACACATAGAATTTACCACCTTAACCATTCATTCTTTTTTTTTTTTTTTTTTAACCATTCATTCTTAAGTATACGTTGAGTAGTGTTAAAGTGTATTCACATTTTTTGTGAAGCAGATCTCCAGAATCTTTCATCTTGCAGAACTGAAACTCTTTACCCATTAAGCAACTCTTTGCCCCTATTCTCCAGCATTAGTTACCTCTATTCTACATTAGTTACCACTATTCTACTTTCTGCCTCTTATTTTTTTTTTTTTTTTTTTTTTTGGTGAGACCCTCGCCGGTGGCCTGGGAACAAACCAGCACTGCAGAGGCTGTGGGCAGCCTTGCAGTCCAGCGCTCAACCGCTGCACCACCAGGGGAGGCCCTCTGCCTCTGATTTTGATTAAGTACCTCCGATAAGAGGGATCATGTCCTTTGTGACTTTTGTGACTTATTTCATTTAGCATAATGTGTTTAAAGTTTATCTGACACACCTGGCATGTGTCAGAATTTCCTTCCTATTGTGTTTATCCATTTATCCTTCAGTGGATATTTGGTTTGCTTCTACCTCGTGGCTACTCTGAATGTGGGTATGTGAATATCCCATCCAGATTATGCTTTAAATTCCTTTGGTATATACCTGAAAGTGAGAGATTGCGGGATCATCTGGTAGCTCTGTTTTTAATTTTTTGAGGAACCTCTACACTGTTTCCTATAGCAATTGTACCATTTTATAATCCCACCAATAGTGTGCAAGGGTTCCACTTTCACCAATTCTTGATATTTCTCATTTTCATTTTTGATAACTGAAATTCCAGTGGGAGTGAAGTGTTATCGCATTTTGATTTTGGTTTGTATTTCTTAATGACTAATGATCATATTTTCATGCACTTATTATCAATCTGTATATCTTCTTTGGAGAACCTTCTGTGCAGATTCTTTGCCCATTTAAAAATTTGGTCTATTTGTCTTTTTATTCTTTAGTTGCTAGAGTTTCTTTATATATACTGTAACTTTATCAGATACATGATTTGCCAATTTTTTTCTCCCATTCTGCGGGTTGTCCTATTTTGTTGATGGTGTCTACTGAAACCCAAAGGTTTTTTTAACTTGATGATGTGAAAATGATTTTTCTTTTTTATTTACACTTTGGGTGTCAGCTCTAAGAAGCCATTGCCTAGTCCACAGTCACAGAGATTTACACCTGTTTTCCTTCTAAGAGTCTTATAGTTTATTACCTTGAGGGTTTGATCCACTTGGAATTCTTTTTTCTAGATGGTGTGAAGTAGGGATTAAAAGTGATTCTTTAGCATGTGGATATCCAGTTTCTTCAACACCACTTAATGAAATGATCTTTTTCTACTGAATTGTCTTGGTACCTGTGCTAAAAATCAACTGACTATAAATGTCAGGGTGTATTTTTGGAATCTCAGTTCTGTTCTGTCAACCTCTGTGTCCTTATGCCAGTAGCTTACTCTTGATTACTACAGTTTTATGTCCTTTGTTTTTTTTTTTTTTTCTTTTCCTTTTTAAATTGTGTTCATCACTGCTCATGTGTTGACTTCACTTTTGAACATCGGTCTTCTGTCTTACCACCTCACATTAATTTGAACTTTTCCATAGATTAGTTTAGGTTTCCCTGTATCTGCGAATTATGACACTGCTTTGTTCCTTTTTCCCCAGTCTTATAGTTTTAGATTTTCTTTCCTTATTATACTAGTCAGAACTTCCAGAACCACGATGACTAAAATCCTTGATAGTAGACATCTTGGTTTTCATCGTGGTTTTAAAAGTAATGTGTTTTCTTTTACCATTAAGTGTAAAGTTTGCTGTGAGTTTTTCATGGCTGCTTTTTTCTCAAGATGAGAATGTTCTTGTCTCTTCAGAGTTGGCTTGGAGTTTTTATTCATGAACAGAGGTTGAGTATTATTAGATACTCTTTCTGTGTCTATGGAGATGATCATCTTTCTTTTAACTGTTAAAATAGTGAATTTTACAATTTTCTAATGTTAACTCTATATTTAGCTCTTACAGTAAAGTCAACTTGGTTTCTTTTTGGTACATTATTAGATGCTATTTGCTAAATACTTTGTTTAGTTTTTTTACACCTGTGATCATGTGTGAGTTTGTTATTTTTTTCCTTCCTTATACTTCTTGACTGGCTTGGATATATGAAGGTGTTATGCTGACCTTGTAAAATGAGTTGATTATGTCTTCAGTTTTCTAGACTAGTTTGTGTAAGACTGAAATATCTATTCCTTGAATCTTTGATACTTAGCTGATGTTTTACAGTTATATATAAAGAGACTATTTAACCTATAGGTGATATATTTATGACTGTGAAATAAGACTGTAGAAGGTATTAGATTCATTGCATTGTAACAGCTTGTTACTTTACTATTGGCTAGTCTTAATGTAACAGGGTGGTCCCCAGGAAAGGGGGAGGTTCCCTGCCCCACCCAAGGGAGGGTGGAGCTGAGCAGGAAGAGGAGAAGCTTCAGAAGAGACTGAGGAAGGAAGCAGGATGGAGCCAGGAGACACGTGAAGAAACTGCGCTTGTCTTTTGGTCGTGGACTGGGTGACACAGATGTGGGTGAGACCCGTGGGGAGGTGACAATGGCAGCTTTTATCTTGATGTTGATTTTACTCTTTTCCTTCCGGGCTTGTCTGGTTGTTTCTGGCCCTTTTCTGTGGGTCCCCACTGGAAGATGCTTTAGACTTGTGGCAGGCTTTGGGGCCTTGCTCTGGGCCAATCCCATTTGGATGTGTTAGGGGGAAAAGGATGTCCCAAAGCAAATTCCATATAGGCTTTGTGGACTCCACCCCCACCCCAGGTCAAAGCCAAAGACACTGGAAACTCCAAATCCCATCACCACCAAAGGGAAGGTGGCTGGGACCTGAGGGTGGGGTTAAGCAGCCAGGTGGATACAAAAGGCAGACACGTGGGCTTTGGGGATCCCCCATTTTTGGCTCTCTGCCAGCTCGCAGCGTCTGGCCAGCTCTGAGAGTGACTTTGGATTTCCAGGTCGTCGGATCGGGTAGGACGCATTAAACACTTTATTTCCCTATTAAGCTGTTATAGAGCAACCCCAATATTAAACGGGTTCCTGGCTGTGGGTCCTCACCCGCGCGCTTTAAAGGGACTTATGAATACTCTACTACAGACACACACAAAAGGGTTAATAAAAGGTTTATTTACAAGAGAAAAAGAAATAAGGAAAATGTACAACTTAGGGAGAAAATAGGGAAATAAAGTCTTTAATGCGTCCTACCCGATCCGACGACCTGGAAACCCAAAGTCACCCTCAGAGTTGACCGGACTGCTGCGAGCTGGCAGAGAGCCAAAAATGGGGGATCCCCAAAGCCCACGTGTCTGCCTTTTGTATCCACCTGGCTGCTTAACCCCACCCTCAGGTCCCAGCCACCTTCCCTTTGGTGGTGATGGGATTTGGAGTTTCCAGTGTCTTTGGCTTTGACCTGGGGTGGGGGTGGAGTCCACAAAACCTATATGGAATTTGCTTTGGGACATCCTTTTCCCCCTAACAGATGGACTTTTACCCACGAGGGGACGTGTAACTTTGGGTGCTTCATTTAGAAACTAGACTCTTTGCCTTTCCTGTATTGTTTCCTAATTAAAGTTCCTTCCCATTAAAGTCTCATATGTTTTGTGTTGATGCGGCGGATGGCAGAACCCTACATAGAATAGGCAGGTTTGTGGGGTTGTTAGGGGGAAAAGGCTGTCCCAAAGTAAATTCCATACAGGCTTTGTGGACTCCACCCCCACCCCAGGTCAAAGCCAAAGACACTGGGAACTCCAAATCCCATCACCACCAAAGGGAAGGTGGCTGGGACCTGAGGGTGGGGCTAAGCAGCCAGGTGGATACAAAAGGCAGACACGTGGGCTTTGGAGATCCCCCATTTTGGCTCTCCGCCAGCTCGCAGCGTCCGGCCAACTCTGAGGGTGACTTTGGATTTCCAGGTCGTGGGATCGGGTAGGACGCATTAAAGACTTTATTTCCCTATTTTCTCCCTGAGTTGTACATTTTCCTTATTTCTTTTTCTCTTGTAAATAAACCTTTTATTAACCCTTTTGTGTGTGTCTGTAGTAGAGTATTCATAAGTCCCTTTAAAGCGCGCGGGTGAGGACCCACAGCCAGGAACCCGTTTAATATCGGGGTTGCTCTATAACAGGGTTTGGGCTGCCCCTCTCCCTGTCCTATAACATTAAGTTACAGAGTAGCTATAAGCTATTCATTTGACCCTGGCATAGAGTAATAAAGTTGTTATTTCATAGATGAGCTATTATAAAGAGAACGAGAGAGTACTTCTACTTTTGTGAATGTGTCACATAGTCAGAAGGGCAGTGTTTCCTGTATGTACACTAATTAAATTTCTGTTTATTTTTTAGAAGTTATAGACCTTACTCATGATAACAAAGATGATCTTCAGGCTGCCATTGCTTTGAGTCTACTGGAGTCCCCCAAAATTCAAGCTGATGGAAGAGATGTTAACAGGTTATTGATTTAATTTATAAATCCTTGCTGAAAGGTTCGGCGCGGTAAAGAAAAGGAGAGCCAGGCTAAATTTCTCAAAGGGAGGGAAAGTTTATTGCACCCAGAGTGGACCTCACAGACCCAAGGCGGGGGTCAGTGGAGTCGCGCACATTGTTAGGGGGAAGCAGGGTTTTATAGGGTGAGGAGAGGTCAGGTGGGTAGTTGGGCTCCTACAGCGGGGAAAAGTTTGTAGGGCAGGTAGAGGTTCTTTGTCTGAGATGAGGGAAAAGTTTGTAGGGAAGGTAGAGGTTCATTGTCTGAGTCCTCCAGGCAGGTATCCACATTCCTGCCCCCCAGGTGGGCTTCCTGGTTGGCTCCTGAATTCAGGCCTCCTGCATGGACCTTTCACTTGCTCCCTGTGTTAGTGTGTAGATCAAAGCTAATTGGGCTCTATGATGCCACCAGTGGACAATTCAGCCAAGTTCTTTTAGTTGTGCTTGAATAAAATTTCTTTTTAGGAAAATATTTAAATTCACATTAACTTACTTATTACTCTTTTATTCACTTTTGAAAAAGTCAAGTATGATATGCCTCTTGTTGCAACCTATGGCCATTGAATAGAAGCTGCAAGGTATTATAATCACTAAGGGGAAAAAGTTCCTAATGTTAGTCACATAAATAAGGATTTCCTTTATAAATTTAGGACCTTTATAAACTTTGAGGATTATGTTGTTGGCTGTTTGAAAATGAAAGCATCACTCAACTTCACTGTCTCAGTAGTGACCAGGGGATATAATTTGTGAATTGGTATGAATTTGGTATTGTTTCTATACCAGATATTGCATCTGGTATTGTTCATAAACATCTAATTCCAATGGAAGCCAATCAATTTCTGGACAAGAGTATTCCCTTAAACTACTAAGTTACTTTTTTGTTTTTGTTTTCCAGAGCCACTTTCGTGTGTTAGGCAATTTGGACATTCTTATCTTTAGCAGCAGGCATCTCCTGCCTCTTGGAAGGGTGATGTCTGACATAGGGCACTGTTATGAATCTAAAACTTTTATTCTGGTTGCCATAAATTGTGTCAGATCTCAACTTAATTCCATATTAAGCCTTATTAGTAATAATCTCTGTTACAGGAGGATTAAAGTCTGTGTTTAAATCTTGCTTTTTCACTTGTGTTATAATCTTAAGAGTTACTAGATTGTCAGTAATTACCCTGTAAGTAGTTTATCTGGCATTTTGAATAATGTCTGTTCTTTAACTTCTTTCTTTTTTGATGTGTGTGATATTGGCCCAATATAGGATGCATGAGGCAACTTCTGCTGAAACTAAACGCTCAAAGAGAAAACGCTGTGAAGTCTGGGGAGAGAACCCCAATCCCAATGACTGGAGGCGAGTTGATGGTTGGCCAGTTGGGCTGAAAAACGTTGGCAATACATGTTGGTTTAGTGCTGTTATTCAGGTATGATATTTTTAAGAGATGAATGTGTCTTCTGGAAATAATTTTTTAACTTTCTAAACTGAAATGTGAGAAACAGAGCTTTTAAAAAAATGGAGATATAGAAGGCTGGGGGTTTTTACCCACAGCATTGTGTTTTATGCCGCGGACCAGCACAGCAGTAGAAGATGAGGCCGTCTCAGGGTTGAGAGACTGCGCAGGGTGGTCAGGGATTTGGTTAAAGAAATGACAAACAGACACACTTCAAGAAAGTGTAAATTTGAGTGCACTTTATTTTAGTCAGTGGTCAGTATATATATGTTTTTTCTAAAGGCATAGGATTAGTGAACATCAAAGAAATTAGGTTGCTCATAGGTTTAGCTTATCATTGACAGGGCAGTGATTTATGTCCAAAATACATCTGGACCTAGCTGCATTCCTAAGTAGACAGGCTATTAACTCTTTCTATATTTTTGTACTAATTACTACTACTACTACCTACTTATGTTTACTCATAATTAATTGTCATGGGTGAATTTATATTATAATGCAGTTAATATCAAAGGTACTAAAGTTAAGCACATAATAGAAAGATTATTAAACTAACAATTCTATTATAACACAGTGTTTAGTAATGTTTCATTTGCATTAGCCTAATTATTAAATTACGTATGTTTTTTAATTAGCAATCAATGACCAGAAAAAGGAAAGATTTTAGAGAGACAGTTGTAGCAGAATAAAGTTTGTGGGCCTTGAGAAAGCGAGATAAGGTTCCAGGTGGTCAGCATTTCTTTTAATCATCTTTGTGGCAGCTTCTGGTGGTTGTTATCTCTTGGCAGGCATTCGGCTTCTCTGCATCTTAGGGAGTTTGCTGTTCTCCCCCTGCGCGCATGGTTCCTTGCCCACGCAGGACCTCAGGGACCATGGCAACAGCCATTAGCCCTGAGGGTCACTGCAGGGGGAGGTGCAGCAGTTTTAGTTGCTTTTTTTGGTGTGTTGGATTTAGGTGCTTTGGTGTCTCAATCAAGTAATAAAAAGCAAAATTTCCTATGATGGTTATTTGTTGAATACATGTTTTAAATTAGCATTTACTGAATACTGTATTACTGTACAGTAAGTGTCAATAAGGAGGAATCAGGAGCTGAGAGGCTATCGTAGGTGTCCAGGCAGGAGTGTATGGTGGCCTGGAGTGGAGAAATGGCATAAGCCGTAAAGGAGAGAAGTGGAACATTCCCACAGCATTAGGAGATTGAATCTCCAGGATTTGTTGGAAAGATAAAATAGAGGATGTATGCAGAAATGGTTAAGACAGAAGGTTCCTAGCTTGAGTCACCAGGTGAAAGGTGGATGGCAGTGCCATTTGACACTTTGGGAGAAGGCATCATTTGGGTATGTGTTTAAGAGTACTTTCAGTTAAGAGTCAGATTTCAGTTCAGTTTTACACATGCTGAGTTTGAGTTGCCATGTGGAGATAGCATGTAGGCCTTTGACTATGTGGATTTGTAGTACATTACAACGATCTGGACACAGATACAATTCCGGGAATTAGTAGCATGTAATAAAACCAAGAGAGTGGGTAATAAAACCAAGAGAGTGGGTGAGTTTCTGTAGGGGGTGTTGCCTCTATGGGCATCTTAAACTTACACTGGCCACAGAGTGACACTTCCTCTCCTGTAGTCTTCTCCATTGTGGCACCTGATACTCAAAAATGGAATTCTCCCTTTTCACACATAAAGTCCCTGGACTCATTTAGCTTACTCTATGTCTAGCACTATTTTAGCTCTGGGGCAACAGTGAATAAAGCAAAGCCCATACCTTTCTGGGACAGACACTAAACAATATATATCAGGTGGTGATAAGTGCCATAAAGACAAATGAGTCAAAGCTAGGGAGGGTTCAGTTAAGAGAGGGTTCAGCTAGAGAGAGAAGGGGTGCTATTTATATAGGGTGTTAAGTATGGCCTTTCTGATAAGGTGGGCATTTGAGTTGAGTCCTGAAGGAGGCAAGGGAATGAGCCATGTAATTATATAAAGAACATTTCATGTAATTACAGAATGTTGCAGACAGAGGGAACAGCAAGTAAGGATAGGGTAATTGGGTGGCAAATGGAAAGGAATAAGGTCAGAAAGGTGGTGGAGCTGGTGTTGGGGGCTGGGGTGGTGACAAAAATTTAGGAAGTGTATATGAGGCGGGAAAATACTGGGAGATTTGGAGAAGAGAAGTAATATAATCCTACCTGCATTTTCAGAGACTCACTGACGTGTATTGGGAATAGAATGTGGGAGGGCACCCCCACAGCCTTCACTCCTATGAGAGATGTTGAGAAGAGCTAGCAGATAGAGGGGACAACTGAGACAGGTTTCTGAGAAAGCATGAATGGGAGGGATATAGGACATGTAGGGCGTAGCCTTAAATAGGAAATGAACAGGAGAGTAATGGGGGAAAAGAGGAGGAAGAAATGAAGACTGCAAGGTGGAATTGAAATAGTTTCTAATAGTCAAAATTTTTCCTTTGTGAAATAAGTAGCCATTTTTTGAGACAGAGCAGAGAAGTGACAGAGTCTGGGTTTAAGGGGAGTGGAAGTGGAAAATCATTGTAGACAGTGGGAAAGTCAGCTGGCACCAGAATACAATAGTAGGATTTCTAAAAAATTGAAAATCTATTTGCAGTTATTGATGTTAAGTGAATAGTAATATCAATATGTCCTGTTTTTATCAGAATGTTCTCTTAGCAGCACTCTGAAACCCTTAGTAGAATGTTAAATTTGTCTAGGTTTGAGGACTTGCTGGGTACAATGAAATGACAAAAGGGAAGTTTGAGAATTTAATGAAAGACAGTTAAAGTCCATGGAATTAAAGCTCAAATAAAGAAATGTAGATAAGAAGGAACCGGTGCTTAGGAGAAAGGAAAGAGGTGAGATTCCTGGGGTTCTTAAGACAGTCGAAGAACAAATGTCTTGTGGGTAACTGAAGACAGGTTGGGGTTCAAGAGTGGGATTTTCTGAATTTGTGCTCTGGGGATTGGCAGCTTTCTAGGTAGGTATTGACATTTCCGGGGTCAGGCCATGGATGTTAGCGATGGAGTGAAGGAATGTGTCACTGGAAAGAAGTTGCTTGAGAAACCAACTGTTTCCTGGTCTGAATGAATGTACCTGTGTTTCCTCAATAAATATTAGCTATGACCTCCTGTATGTCTAGCAGGAGGCAAGGGGGGAAGAACATTCCAGGTAGGGAAAACCACAGAATAATGGCGCTGAGGTCAGAATAGACTTGGTGTGTTCAGGGGCATCATTGTGTCCTGTGTGGCCAGGATACCATCAGCTGAGGGGCTGTCCCTGGAGATGAGATTAAGAGATAATTTGCCTTTTATTCTGAAGTGGGAGGTCACTGAAGGTTCTGACAGAGGATTGATGAACTCTGACCTGAGTTTTAAAAGACTCACTCTGGCCCCTGTGAGGGAGATGAAGGAAGTTGCAGGGGTACAAATGGAGAGACCTAATGCGAAGGCAGCTGCTGTCACCTGCAGGGGAATTGATAGTGATGTGGGCCCCATTGTTAGGTGGAAGAGAGAAGAGGTTGGACTTTGATTTTTTTCTGAAGGCAGAGGATGTCCCATAAATTGATAATAAGTGAAGCCACCCAGTAGGATCGCAGTACTTGGAAGAGGAAGAACTGTTACCGGCTGATAGTCTTTCATGAGCCGGGCAATTTATTTTGCTCTTTAGCAAAGATAGCTAGAAGAACCTGTGTGGCAAGCCACTTGGTGGCGGGGAAGTCCTGGAAGTGGGACTCCACGTGCAGTGGACCAGGCCGGCTGTGAAAGGACTTTGATCAGAGCAGTTGGTGGGGACTGATGAGGTAGAGGTGGTTAGAGATAGCATGGCAGAAGCCGAGTCCAAGGGACGTCTTATTTACTGGACGAGAATGGTTAAGAAAGGGCAAGGGCTTGAAGGTTATTCTCAAGTTCCAAACTGGTAACTGGAGGGAGGAGGATGTAATTGAGTGATGGGGAGCACCCAGGGGATACATATGTAAGAGGAGCATCTCAATATTGGGGAATGTGAGTAAGATTTGCTCACACTTTAGTAGTTTCTAAGATAGGCCTCACTGGAGAAAGGCAGATTTTGGCGAAGGTAAGGAGGTGGAGTGAAGTGACTGAGAATTTAGACCTGGAAAATGTTATGGGGTAGTGGGCCAAGTAGGAATGAAACCGGAGGACTGGAGATGTACTGGTGGACAGCTGAGGTGGAAAGAGAAGAGAGCGGGGAAGTATAGAGGTTGAGCTTGGGTATGGCTGCATGACCTGACTTCACCTCCCAGCCCCATGGCGCCCTCTCAGGGCCATACTGTGACAGAGTGAGGGGAGGCAGGAGGAGGTGCTTGCTAGGCGACCACTGGTCAGACACTGCCACTGTGATTCTTTGACTTGTAAGATCTACCTGGGGTTTGGAATAGCAATAACAGTAGATTTTATTAGTTCTGATTGCAAAGTTTTGCCTATTTTCTACCAGGACGCTGTTCCAAGATTTCCAATGTGCAGGTTAGGAGGGTTTTTCATTTAAGGACTATGTTGGGGTAAGGAGGTATATACATTCAAGGGATTTTTAAAAGATACTCATAGAAAAGAGCATGCTATACGAGCAGTAAAAAGAATCCTTGTTCCCAATTCTGTCAGCCAGATGTATCTGCTGTTAAAATTCTAAAAAATACAATACATATGACCAAGATTGGAGAATAGTAAATATTGCTGTACTCCCACCCTTCTTTAGAAATAAATGTCACAAATCCCTTTACTCTTTTTTTTTTTTATTTTTTAAATAATAAATTTTATTTTTATATTCCCCATACAATTGCAACCCCCCCATTCTGACCCCAATCCCTCCCCTCCCGCCCTCAACCCCCCCAAAAAGTGTCTCTGGTTCATAGTTTTTTGTTGATTTTGATTTTCACTTTCTTGTAGTTATTCTTTTTCCTGGTCCCTTATTTAAGTTTTCTAGATTCCTACTATGAGTGAGACCATCCGGTATTTTTCTTTTTCTTTCTGGCTTATTTCGCTGAGCATGATCCCTTCCAGCGCCATCCATGTTGCTGCAAATTGCATGTGTTTATCTTTTTTGAATGCTGAGTAATATTCCATGGTGTATATGGACCACATCTTCTTGATCCAGTCATCTATTTTGGGGCAACAAATCCCTTTACTCTTGGTCTCTGTTGTGCCCAACCCCTGTTACTCCTCCCCTCCCTGCTCTACAGACAGCCACACCTGTTTGTATCTCTGAACAATAGATCGTATTTTCTTATTTGTAATTAAATTTAATATATAAGCAGTAGAATACCCCATAGATTTATCCCTGTTGATACATGTAGTCCTTAGTCATTTATTTTCACTTTTGTGTAGTAGTCCATTTTATGAAACTATTTTCTTAAATATTATTTTAATGACTGCATTGTTGCCTATCGTATAAACGTGCTGTAGTTTGTTGTAATCTATTCCTCTTGTTATTAGCCGTCAGGTTGTTTCTAGTTTTTTCCTGAAAGAATTCTTTCAGCTAAATGTCTGTGAATGAATGGCCATTGTTTTGTCCTTAGACATAAGCCAAGTAGCATTACTAGGTTGACAGTTATGCATACTTCTAAGGTAACATAAATGCTATTTTGCTGCACTTACTTTGAAAGAAAGGCTACGAATCCATTTCTTTCTTTATTTCAGTCTCTCTTTCAGTTGCCTGAGTTTCGAAGACTTGTTCTCAGTTATAGTCTGCCACAGAAGGTACTTGAAAATTGTCCAAGTCATACGGTAGGTTGGTGTTAAGGCATCTTCACTGTGGTTTAGTCCCTCATCCCAAAGGCTTTTCAATTTTTAACTGAAGCCAAGAACTGTAGTGCTCTTTGACTTGTGCTAATAGCAGTTTTCATTTCCAATGTCTCCGCCTTTGTGACAAGGAATCGGGTTTGCAAAAATGTAAAGTTGAGGAATAAAATTAGAAAAACAGCTACAAGATATTGGTGAGTCACCCTGACTGCCTCAGCTTTTCTACCTCCTGGTGGGAGATTCAAAAACACCTGTTCTGTTTGCAACATCCTTCACTGCTCCATAAACCACCCAGGTCAGGTGAGGCGAAACAGATGACTTGATGCCAGAAGCCTGTACCTTCTTAGAAGAGATTTCTGTCTGTCCTTGTTAAAGGACGTGGCTTCCTGCCAGCAATATAACCCTTCAGGATTTCACCTTGGACATGCGTTTTCCTAACAGGAGGAAGGCAGAAGCTGTAGAAAGGAAACATTTTTGCTTTCTTGACAATATTTTATCTGGTGCCTACATAGATTTTCCTCATTTAAAGTGATCACCATATAGACCTCACTAGAATACCTATAGCATAGCTTGACCTGACACTTGGCTATAGATCTGGAGAAATGTAAATTAGGAAGTGCTCATTGACAACTTTTCTCTTAATATGTCCTAATTTTCCAAATAAGAGTTGTAAGAGACACACTGCTGTTTCTGCAGGAAAAGAGAAATATTGTGTTTATGCAAGAGCTTCAGTATTTGTTTGCTCTGATGATGGGATCAAACCGTAAATTTGTGGACCCTTCAGCAGCCCTCGATCTCTTAAAGGGAGCATTCCGATCACCTGAGGAACAGCAGGTACAAAAAAATCTGTGGTCTGGTTTTGCCTCAAACTCTGGAGTTTGAAACCTTGCCTTGTTAATATTGCTGTGATGTTGTTTATTTCAGCTGTGTATAAGCTGTGAACTTGACTGAACAGCACAGTGGCTGCCTGTTTTTGCTCTTTATCATGTCTAAGGAAGAGGTGGTAAAGAGAGAGGAGGGAAGAGAAAGAGACAGAGAGAGAGAGTGAGTTGTATGTGGGAGGTTGGCAGCTCAAAGGGAAGAAGAAATAGTAGAAGGAATAGAATTAGCCAGGGTCTTTTGAAGTAGAAAGGAGATTGGAAAGTGCCTTAGTAAATCATAACAAAGGGTCACCAAGGAAAGTAAAAGTCCTTTTCTGTGCCTTTGTCTTTGGGTGGCCTTGCTAGCAGGCCTGTTTTTAAAACTGTCTAAACCTGAAGCTTCTCTTCTAGACTTTAGCACTTTCTTTTCCTTGCCTCCTATTAAAAAAACTAAAGCTGTCACTATTAGAACAGCTTCTTCCTTGTAAAGTTAACTTTTCTCCTCTGTTAATTTAAATGTCTTAGAATTCTGCGGCATTCTCAAACATTTCATAAGTTTCCTTTCTCCATTCAGATCTCACACAGTTCTAGAGGATTACAGTTTGTTCTTAGTACCTCTTTTTTTTCTCCCTCCTTTTTTTAAAGGCCTAACTGGAAGATTTTACTTGTTTATTGCACGTAGCTGTGACTGGAGGTGCTGGAGTTCCAGTTTCCTTCTGGCCACTTCTGTTCTGCCAGACGCACCTCCAGTCTTATCTGTAGCAGCTGGGGCCCTGTGTTCCTATCTTCATGATAGGTGGCCCCGAGAGAGCAGTCCTTCCATAGAAACAGAATCCCAGTCAGTGGTGGGCAAGGGCAGAGTCTCATTTTCCTAAGTAGAGTGTTGGGTCTAACTCTTATGCAATTTGTGCCTCTCTTGTAGCAAGATGTGAGTGAATTCACACACAAGCTCCTGGATTGGCTAGAGGACGCGTTCCAGCTAGCTGTTAATGTTAAGTGAGTGTTGAGGATTTGTCCGTACATCCTTCCTGCTCACAGTGGTCCAGTGAGAATTCTGACATGGGGGAAATTACTCTTCTCAAGTAGAAATTGCTGGTTTTTTCCCAAACCTTCTGGGGTAGCCACTCAAGCTATTCACCGTTGTAATCCCTATTGCCTTTGGTTTTCCCTTCTGAAGAGACAGATAATCATTTTAACCTGCAACTTTTTTCTTTTTTTTTTTTTTTTTACTAAAAGGACCATAACTATTAACATTCTTAAAGTCATAGCCTCTGCTGTAAAATGTATTAAGAGGTCAAATCAATCCCAGATGTGAACAAGGCCGTACGATATGGCTACATTCAGTTTTATCTAACACTGCTTCTGAAGTCTCTGTCAAATGTTAGAGGATAGCTTTTAATCATTTCAGTCACTGACAGATGTGAAATTTGGGGCAAAGATACACATACCTCATGTCTAATGTGATTGTAGAGATACTTGTTTTCTAAATTGTTTTAACAATAGGTGAAGAAACGTATACCACAAAACAGCTTTGCAATAGCAGTTTACATAGTTAATATGTTAAAATGGGTTTGTGGAAATGAACTGTTTTCATCCAGTTTGATTGTGCCCACTGGAGAACTTTTTTGTATTTCTTTGCAAAATTGCATAAAAGAGTTTATTCTTATCTATTCTACTTCTCTACCTTGTATATGTCTGTCACTGGATATCAGTGTTTATATTGAATAGAAATACATATATTTGTCTGCATGTGTGACTCCCCTGTTAGATTCTCAGCCCCTTAAGGCCAGGGTTCACACCTGACTGTCTTTGTTGTGTCTTTTCAGTGTAGCACAATGCTGGACATAAACTTGTTCAATGAGTGTTTGAACTGACCTCATCCATTACTTATTTTAGAACATATGTGACTCTGGGGGTTGATGAAAATGTACCAGTTTTGAATGATGGTTGGGCACACTATGGTGCTTATTTGATCCAAGTGATACAGAATTGTCTCCTTTGTTGTTGTTTTTTTAAAGCAGCAACCCCAGGAACAAATCTGAAAATCCAATGGTGCAGCTATTCTATGGTACTTTCCTCACTGAAGGGGTTCGTGAAGGTAAATTCTTTGCTCTAAATGTGAATTGTAGACATGTGGCCATATCTGTATTAAAGTGACCCTTGGAGGAGGCAGGATGACGAAAATGACTTGAGAGTCAGACAAATCCAGGTCTTGAATGTTGGCTCTGCCTCTTAATATCTGTGTGACTGTGGACAAAGTATGTGAGCCCCCGGATCCTTAGTCTCTTCATTTGTAAAATGGGCACAGTCTTTATCTCAGCGTTGTTATATTAATTAGTGTAACTTTTGTACCACCCAAGTCTAATATTAATGTCTGGCACACAGTGATTGTCGTGCAGCCATCTTAGGCCAGGCAGGTTCATGATTGATTCAGCATATCGAAAAAGGTCTTAGGTATATTTGACATGCCTTTAACGCTGAAACAGGGGACCAGATACACTGGCAAACAGGGAGGCAGGCAGCAACTGAGCACCCACTATCTCTGGCCTCTGGGCCCAGATGTCCATATTTATAGGTGCGCACACTGTGCTTTCTGGCTCCTTGGCCCAGGTGTCTGTATTTTATAGGTGCACATGCCTCATGCTCGCACTCCCAAGTGCATTTTGCAGTAACACAGTATCCTGTGTGAGTAATGAAACTTTGGAAGAAAACACAGCTGCCAGTGGTTGTGGGAGGTGAAAAAGAGCCCTAGTGACCCCATTTTACTCACAGTGATGCTGCTCAATTTTCTGTTGTTTTTTCTCCTGTAACACCTCATCTCAAAAAGACTGTATTGATTTGCACTGACAAAAATATTTGTCTGTTGTAGAAATGTATGCTAGTCACATAAATTTTTTTGTTTTACTAGGATAATTTCACACATTTAAAATTGAGCATGAACTCATGAAAAACCCATGAACTCAGCAGTCATTAGCCCATGACCAGTCACTCCCCATGTTACCCCCATCTCCTCTTGCCCCTCCAGTATTCATTTTTCAAACCCCAGTGCTAACGAAATAACACTAATATCAAATGCCTGTCAATGTTCAAATTTTCTATTCTGTATTTCTGTATTCACAGTTTTATGTATGTATAGAGTTTATTTTTAGAATTTTTGAAAGCAGAATCCAAATATGATTCATTTATGATTGAATTAAATGTACTTTTTTAAGAAACTGGGTAGTTTGTCCCCTGGTATCTCCCACAGTCTGGAATATTGCTGCTTGCCTAGAGTTTGACATGTTCCTCTGTGCTCCCTTTTTTATAAATTGGTGGTTGGATCTAGAGATTTGACCAGATTCAGGTAAGGCTTCTTTTGGCAAGACTCATCACAAGTGGTGGGATAGTCTTTGATCAGGAGACACATATTGCCTGGTTGCCTTCCATTCTGCAGTGTTAGCCGTTGTTAGTGGTCAGTGCCTGGAAACATTTGTCTGTTAGAGTTGCCCTTTGGTTTAAAATAAACCTCAAAACTAGTTCTCAGGAAGTTGCTAAATTTAAGAAGATATTATCTCTGTGGTGCCAGAATATAGGCTCTTGATAGCGTTAGTGATGTCTTTAAAAAAGCAATCTGTTTCTTTGCCTAGGAAAGCCCTTTTGTAACAATGAGACCTTTGGCCAGTATCCCCTTCAGGTAAACGGTTATCGCAACTTAGATGAATGTTTGGAAGGGGCCATGGTGGAGGGTGACATTGAACTGCTCCCTTCCGATCATGCAGTGAAGTATGGACAAGAGGTGAGTTTGACATTTTTTTTTTTATCTACTGTGCCAATAACAGTGCCAATTAAGAAGGGGTTTTGAGGTTTTTGGCAAACTGTTTTCTCGTCACATGTTAAAAATGTTGCACTTAACAGAAATTGAGCTACTCTGAATTTTTTCATTAGTTGATCTAAGTCTTAGTCTGATAAATTCTTTACTAAAAATACGAGTTTGAGTTAATCATATAAAGGTTGTATGCTGCTTCTGATGTTTTAAGTATGATCAAGTTTCTCTCTTTCTGTTGAAGCCTACCTGTACCTGAGTAGGGAGAAACCACTGCCCCCATATTTTCGGAGGGTAAAAGTACAGTGATTAACTCCTATGGTATGCCATTTAGAATATTTTCCCTATTATAGTACTTAACTGTTCTCAATTGTAAATTCTGCCTTTGCTTTAAAAGTCTTTTAAATTTAATATATTTTTTCCATGGGCTCGAAAGAAAGGGGAAGTTAAAGGGAGAGTAAGGGTAATTAATATCTCAGAATTCCAGTTGGGTTGAAAATTATTGAGTCATATTTTTAGTGTAACTTTCAACACCATACAGTTTGGGTTATTCTCCTGTGATTATATAGCTTCAAACAAAACTATATAATCTGTCTACTTCAGTAATTACTATAAGAGAGAGAAAAGCTTGCTTAAATTAAAGTAGGGAGTCTAAAATGAGCCTCATGAAAGTGCAGTTGCTATAGAGCAGTGTTGGCACTGGAGCCAGTGCTGCTTCCCTAGCCTTTCAACAAGAGTAGGCAGTTCCCGATGGCAGGAGTATCAACTCTAAGTCTGCAGAAATGAAGCCTCCTCTCACAGAGGAGAAGGAATGCGTGTCAGTACTTAGACCTCCGGAGACTTGTGTTCGAGGATGAGGACTCTTTATTTTAAAAAGTCAGAAAATTATTAAGCTTGTTTAGATTTAACGCTGCGGTAATCACACCGGCTGTCTGGATTCGCCTCATGCTGACAGGGTATGTGAAGGAATATTGTTAAAGGGAACATTTTAAAGGCGATCACACAGACCTCTGGTGTACAGGTGAATGGGACCTGATTCAGTTTTCCCTTATCTGTGATCAGTGACAGCTGAGACCCTTTTCCTGAGTCAGTGCTTTCTTCTCTTGAAACTCCAAGGAAATCATAGGTTGATTGTACTGGGTCCCTTGTTAGACATCTCTAAGTTCTTGGACTCCAAGGATTTTCTAAGACTTTGAGAATTCATAATTATGAGACTATTTTAAATTTCCTTTTTAAACATAGAAAGGATTCAAATTATGGTTAATTGACTAGTATATGATATACATATTATTCTTTTTAACTGATTCATGGAGAAACTGTCTCCTTAGTTTTATGCTGCTTGGGTCATAATTTCTAGCTCTTTGGACCTAGCCATTTACTTGAGGGTTTGAAAGTCTTCTATACTAATGACTCAGTGAATGAGTTTTGTAGGTGCTTGGTGTGGGTCACATATTTAAGTGTGGTTGTTTCTGAGGAGGATCGTTGAGTATATTGTGACTAACTAGCTCACAAATTTGGAGTCTTGGAGTGTTGAACTATTTTCTCTAAGAGGGTATGATTCTGAGTGGTCATTTCCTATAGTATGTGAAATTGAAAAAATGAAAAATGATGTAAAAAATATATAAAATAAAAAAAAACTCTAGTATAAGTTTGATATGATTATAGATTCTATCCCAAAAGAAGAGAGTTGGTGAGGGACATTTTATTGTTATTTCCTAAAATTAACTTCTGTCTCCATATTTCTACCCCTAACATAGCGATGGTTTACAAAACTACCTCCAGTATTGACCTTTGAACTCTCAAGATTTGAGTTCAATCAATCCCTTGGGCAGCCAGAAAAAATTCATAATAAGCTGGAGTTTCCTCAGATTATTTATATGGACAGGTGAGTTTTGTGGTTGATTGTCTACTTGAGGTAGCACAACAGTAGAAATGAGAGTGTACTAAGTGTTGTGCATGGGAATCACTGGGAGATTTTGATAATTTGTAAATTTAGATTTAGTGCCTCTAGATCGGGCCTAAGAGTTTACATTTCTAAGAGTGTATCGTGTTAACGATGCTTCTGATCTCTAGACCCAATTTGAGTAAGCAGACTTTAGGTGAAACCCATCTAATTTGGGGGTGAAGGACAGTATATGGAGTAACTACAGTGTATTTCTCACTAATCTGAATACACCTAATATTCTTGAAAAATATCCTAGACAGCTCTATATTATAGAATTTAAATCTTTTTAAAGTCTGGTTTATTGACATATAGTTTGCATACATCACATTACAAAATAATGCCAACCATTCTTAAATGTATAGCCAATGAGTTTTGACAAGTTGCATATAGCCTAGTAACCACCATCACAGTTAAGATATAGAGGACATTTATCTCATCCAAAAGGTTCCCTTGTGGCCCTTTGCAGTCAGTCTGTTTTATTCACACATGCTTGTTTTCTGGTACTCAAGAATTTGCATTTCTTGTTTTCTGGCCCTGTAGTTTCACCGTTTCTAGAATGTCATATTAATTGACATTAATATTCAGTAGATACCCGATTGTGACTTTCTTCTTTCACTTAGGGTGATTTTTTGAGTTTCATCCATGTTGTTGTATATATCAGTGTTTCATTCCTGGAAATACTGAGTAATTTTCCATTGTGTTGGCCGTACCACAGTATTTTTTCCATTCACCAGTTAATTAACTTTAACCTAGGAGCAAGGTTGCTGGTTGTATGAAAAGTATATGAGTTAACTTTACAAGAAATTTCCAAACTTTCCAAAAGTTGCTGTATAATTTTATATTCCTACCAGTAGCATCTGGGAGCACCTTTTGCTCTGAATCCTCACTAATATGAAGAATTATTGAACTTAGTAATTTTAGCCATTTTAGTACATTTGTAGGAATAGCTTTCTTTAAAATTTTTATCTCTCTAATAACCAAAAATGTTGAAACCTTTTCATGAAATTTAATGATCATACATATATTTCCTTTGGTGAAGAGTGTTAAATATTTTGGTCACCTTTTAATTAGGCTGGTTGTATTCATACTGAGATGTGAGAGTTCTTTATGTATTTAGATGCAAATCCAGATACTTCCTGTCTGTGTTTGTCACATTTTCTTTTTACCAGAAGCCACTGGTAATCAAATCTTTGTCAACTCAAGGTCACAGAGATTTTTTTTTTCTTTATTTTTCTAGAAGTTTTAATTCTTATATTTTTGTCTAGTACCCATTTAGAATTTATTTTTATGTGTGATACGAGGTAGAGGTTTTTGTTTGTTTTCTGTTTTTTTGCAGGAAAGGGAAAAGGACCCATTTGGATGACCAATACCATTTGTTGAAAAGACTTTACTTTCCCCTGTTATAGGACAGGGAGAGGGGCTTCCTGGGGACCACCCTGTAGCACCCCCATTGAATTACCTTGGTATTTTCTGTTAAAGTTAATGGAGTATATACTTGTGGCTCTATTGCTAGAGTCTCTTTTCTATCTGTTGTCTAATATTATGTTAGCGCCATGTTGTCTTGATTACTCCAACTTTTTGGTAGATCTTGATATCAGACGGTATAAATCTTTTAACTTTGTTCTTTTTTCCAAAGTTGTTTTCACTGTTCTGGTCCTTAGCTTTTCTATATAAGTACGAGTCTACTTGTCAATTTCTACCTAATAGCTATTGTGATTTTAATAGAATTGTGTTTAACCTATAGATCAATTTGGAGAAATTGACATCTTAATAATATTATGTCCCTCAATCCATGAACATGGATAGCTCCATTTGTTTAAATCCTTACTGATTTCTCTAAAATAATGTTTTGCAGCTTTTAGTGTACTGGTCTTGCACATATCTCATTAAATTTATCCTTGAATAATTCATGCTTTTGCTATTATTGTAATTTCTTAAGGTTTATTTATTTGTGCATGCATAGAAGTGTTATAGAGCAACCCCGATATTAAACGGGTTCCTGGCTGTGGGTCCTCACCCGCGCGCTTTAAAGGGACTTATGAATACTCTACTACAGACACACACAAAAGGGTTAATAAAAGGTTTATTTACAAGAGGAAAGGAAATAAGGAAAATGTACAACTCAGGGGAAAAATAGGGAAATAAAGTCTTTAATGCGTCCTACCCGATCCGACGACCTGGAAACCCAAAGTCACTCCCAGAGCTGGCCGGAGGCTCCGCGCTGGCCGAGCGCCCCAAAATGGAGAGAGCCCCAAAGCCCACGTGTCTGCCTTTTGTATCCACCTGGCTGCTTAACCCCACCCTCAGGTCCCAGCCACCTTCCCTTTGGTGGTGATGGGATTTGGAGTTCCCAGTGTCTTTGGCTTTGACCTGGGGTGGGGGTGGAGTCCACAAAGCCTGTATGGAATTAGCTTTGGGACCGCCTTTTCCCCCTAACAGAAGAACTGGAGTATAGGCCAGAGGTGTGAGAGTGAGAGGATTCACCAGAGACAGAGTGGGGAGCAGAACAGGCAGATCTACTGAACTACACTGCTAAGGGGAGTAGCAGACAGACGAGACAGGAGAGGTCTGTTATGCTGTGTGGTTAGTGAAAGGTTCGGCGTGGTAAAGAAAAGGAGAGCCAGGCTATATTTCTCAAAGGGAGGGAAAGTTTATTGCGCCCCGGGCGGACCTCACAGACCCAAGGCGGGGGTCAGTGGAGTCTCGCACATTGTTAGGGGGAAGCAGGGTTTTATAGGGCGAGGAGAGGTCAGGTGGGTAGTTGGGCTCCTACGGCGGGAAAAGTTTGTAGGGCAGGTAGAGGTTCTTTGTTTGAGAAGAGACTTGTGGGGGAAGGGGGGAGGCTCATTGTCTGAGTCCTCCAGGCAGGTATCCACATTCCTGCCCCCCAGGTGGGCTTCCTGGTTGGCTCCTGCATTCAAGCCTCCTGCATGGATCTTTTAGTTAGTTCCCTGGCTGGGGATCAGGCTGTAGTGGTGATGGCGCTGAGACTTAACCCCTAGACCACCAGGGAGGCCCTATTATAATGTTTTAATTCTACTTTCCATTGTTTCTTTACAAGCACACAGAAACCTAGTAGATTTTTTCCTTTCTTTTTAAATTGACTTTGTATCTTTTGACTTTACTAACTTCACTTAGCAGTTCTGTTGCATTTTTTGTAGCTTCCTTGAGATTTTATGTAGCTATTCACTGTCTGCATTAAAGGCATTTTTACTTCTTCCTTTACTTTCTGAATGCCTTATATTCTTTTCCTTCAATTACTGTATTGGCTGTAGAAAACGAAAGAGTCGGCATCCTTGCATTGTTCCTTAGCGGGAAGCTTTTAGGCTCCCCATCAGTTGTGATTTTAGCTGTGTTTTCATAGATTACCTTTGTCTGGTTGAGGAAGTTTCCTTGTATCCCCATTTTGCTGAGACTTTGTGTCATTAGTGATCTTAAATGTGATTTGTGTGATTATCATTGTTTAGGTACATGTACAGGAGCAAAGAACTTATTCGAAGTAAGAGAGAGTGTGTTCGAAAGTTAAAGGAGGAAATAAAAGTTCTGCAGCAAAAACTGGAAAGGTATGTTGTAGATAACTTTCTGTTTAGAAATGTAAAAGGAAAAGTTCCGTTAAAATCAGATAATTTGCTTATATTTAAAAAATCAATTCAGCGTTTAAGTATTAACTAGTGTACCTTATAAAATAACTAAGCACACTTTTCTCTAAGTGTGAAGCAGTCTTTAAGATGTGCTGATAAATACTCTCAGGGGACTTAAGTGTCACACAGTTCTTGGCAGTATCCTGAAGAGAACTCAGATTCTGAAGAGTTTATAACACTTGACCTTTTTCTACTCTCTTGCCATCTTTTTCACAAGCATGAGAGAGGTCACTTTTACACACTCCAATCCCTTTGTTTTGGGAAAGCAGTGTCTGAAGCTTCTTGGAAAAGTTAAAAAATAGTTCTTTAGAACCTAGGGTAGTGATAACTGCTTTAAAGAGCTAATATTTCTGACACAAAGTTCTTCTCATATGCAGGGGTCTTTTCCTTTCCTTTTATTTGTTTTGTTCTTTTTATGTAGACTCACACTGTGACTGCCTATGGAGGAGGCAATATAATTTCTTGCTAGTCAAGATAAATCCCCATTGATACTTATATAGGGACCAGAGCCTAAATGTGATATTAAGAGAAAGCATAATTGGCATGGCTTTTATGAGGAGTCCATTTGAAATGTTTTATGCCGGATATAAAATTACAGATTGTTGGGAATTTTTACCTTCTTAGTTGGAGAATGTTAGCCTTATGACGGTGTGAATAACCTATTAAATATTATAGCACCTTTAGGAATAAGTTTCTCCATTGACTCTCCACTCAATAACAGATTTGTCAGCAGGCAGATTTGTGTTAAAATGTAAGACAGACCTGGCCAAGAGAGTATCACTGTCTTTGCTTTTTAGGTATGTGAAGTATGGCTCAGGCCCAGCGCGCTTCCCACTCCCAGACATGTTGAAATACGTTATTGAATTTGCTAGTACAAAACCTGCCTCAGAAAGTTCGTCTCAAAGTGACGCACATGGGACATTACCACTTTCCACAGTGCACTGCCCAGGTTCTGACCCGACATCCAAGGAAAGGTAATGAATGCAAATGGAAAAAACAGTATATATAGGTTTTTTTTGTTTTGAACAATGTGCCATCTTTCTACCTGATTAACATTTATTTGCCCGTAAGAACTCAAGGATGAGGATGAACTCTTAGGGGAAGGTTTTGCTAAAACTGTCTCTTGACTAGAACGTTTTCATAGTTCTCACCAGTACCCATTTGGATGGTGGGTTGGGACTATTTCAGAGGCTGGGACTATTTCAGAGGCTTCTTGAACTATCTGTAATTGTATTCATGTTGCACCAGGACCACCAGGGATACCTTGTTTGGAGTGAGCTATAAGCTAGCTGCTTATGAAGGCTTTTCTCAGAGGAAACCTCAAGCCTTGCTCTTCCAAAACATCTCATTCTCCTATCTGCTGAGATGTAGGTTCAATTAAGTTAACACCAAGGAAAAAGAGACTCATTCATAAATAGAAAATTAAAACAAAAAAATGAACTGGCTAGAAATTGATGACAGCTTCTAGGGGCTTATCAAATGAATAAAGAGGGAAGCCAAGTAATAAGAGCCCTCTGAGTCTTTTCTAGCTCAGCCACATGCAATAATCTTTGTGACCTGGAGGAGTAAGTTCAGATTTGATGATGTGTCCTGGCTAATAAAAACACTGGAATGCTTTAAAAAAAAAAAAAAAACCTCTATAAGCAATAAAGATTAGATTTTAATATTAAATCCAAGCATTCCCCCAGTTCCTCTACATATTAATATTTGTTTCTCCATATATGTGTAGAAATGCACATCTTAGTAAAACATAGGAAATATTGATAATGATTATTTCTAGCTTGGCTTGTGTTTAGGATGGAAGATTCTTTGACTTCTTATAGTCTACTTGTGTGTTTGGATTTTTAGTAGAACATTTTCATGTCCTTCAGGAAACATAAACGGTTTCAGTTTTCAAAAGAGGTTGGACAAGCTATTTAATCACATAAAATAATGCTGCCTGATGATTGATTTAGAAATTATTCTTATGTGTGTGTAACTCTTCTGATACTGAGGTACCTGCTCATCTGCTTCTATTTGGCTTATTTTCCCATATGTATAGGTCCTTACAAAAAGGAGGTTTTCTCCATTATTTTGTGTGAGAGAGGAGGCAAGGGAGGGGGGAGTAAGGAGTAGGGGCTTCTTTTAAGTCAAAACTAAAGGAAACCCATCCTCCTCAGTCTTGTTGTGAAACTGACCAAAGTATTGTTAGAAGCTTAACTTTTATTCCTGCTCGTTTGTCCATGTTCAATTTTTTGACAATAGTTAATTAGTAAATTGCCGCAGACCAGCACAGCAGTAGACGATGAGGCCACCTCAGGGTTGAGAGAAGTGTGCAGGGTGGTCAGGGCGTCGGTGAAAGAAATGACAGACACACTTCAAGAGTGAAAATCTGAGTGTAATTTTCTTTGAGTTTGTGACCAATATATATATGTTTTCCAAAAGCACAGGGACAATGAATATCAATGAAATCAGCTTGCTCATGGGCTCAGTCTATCACCATCAGGGAGGTGATCTACATAACAAGCAATTACTTTTATAGAAGAAAGAAGGAAGTTTAGAAAGACAAATAAGGGATTAAAGTTTGTAGTTCTAGAAAGAGGGGATAAGATTTTTAGCATTCTTGTAGTGGTTCCTGGTGGTCGTTATCTTTTGATAAGCTTCTGTCTTTTCAGGGAACTTCCGCTGCTGTACTTCCTCTACTTCAAGGTGTTATGCTGTTCTCCCCCTGCACGCTGGTTGCCCAGCCAGACCTAGGGACCCTGGCAAAAGCCATTCCTAAAGGTCACTGCAGGGGGAGGTGCAGCAGGTATGTAGGGTTTTGCTGTTGTTCTCCCCCTGCGCCCAGCCGGACCTAGGGACGGTTAACCCTAAAGGTCACTGCAGGGGGAGGTGCAGCAGTAAATAAATTAATTCATACCTCTTACTTTACATACTATGTTCTTAGTGTGTTTACAGCAGTGATATAAAAATGTTAGTATTTACATTTTATAGCTGAGGTATTATTTTACTTAACTGAGCCTGTTATAGGACAGGGAGAGGGGCAGCCCAAACCCCGCAAACCTGCCTATTCTACATGGGTTCTGCCATCCGCCGCATCAACACAAAACATAGGAGACTTTAATGGGAAGGAACTTTAATAAAACTAGGAAACAATACAGGTAAGGCAAAGAGTCTAGTTTCTAAATGAAGCACCCAAAGTTACCCGTCCCCTCAGGGGTAAAAGTCCATCCAAATGGGATTGGCCCAGAACAAGGCCCCAAAGCCAGCCACAAGTCTAAAGCATCTTCCAGTGGGGACCCACAGAAAAGGGTCACAAACAACCGGACAAGCCCGGAAGGAAAAGAGCAAAATCAACATCAAGATAAAAGCTGCCATTGTCACCTCCCCACGGGTCTCACCCACATCTGTGTCACCCAGTCCACGACCAAAAGACAAGCGCAGTTTCTTCACGTGTCTCTAGGCTCCATGCGCCTCCTCCAGGTCTCCTTGCTCCATCCTGCTTCCTTCCTCCGTCTCTTCCTGCAGCTTCTTCTCTTCCTGCTCAGCTCCACCCTCCCTTAGGTGGGGCAGGGAACCTGGAACTTCCCCCTTTCCTGGGGACCACCCTGTTACAAGCCTAGTAACTTTTCCTTGGGTATTTAGCTGAGAAGTGGAAGAACTGAGATTGTCTGCCTGTAAGTCCTGCCCCTGTGCTCTCTGGGGTGCCACCTAGTGTGTATTCCTGCGGATTGGATATTCAGCAGATGCTCGTTTTTCTTGCTTTTATGTATTTTGTTCCTGGATGGATACTTTGACTTTAGTCAGTTATTCCGTAATTGACTCTTTGATTCTTCCAGTGCTAATCTTCTCCATCTTCCCCCACCCTTCCTCATGAGAAAGCATTATAATAAGTCATTAGAGAGAGTGAACCATAAATTTAGGCAGATGGAGTTTAAATCCCTCTCCATCATTTACTAGCTGGATAAATTTAAGTGAGTTGCTTAATTTCTCTAACCCTCAGGTTTATAATTGGTAAAATGGGAATAGTTTCTGCTTCCTAAGCAAGTTATGTTAAATGAAATGATACATATAAAGAGGTTTGGCTCAGAACCTTTAGAGAGTTCATGCTTAGTAATAGTGGTCCTTTTCCACATAGCTGCTTGCTTTAGAAAGCAGGTTAATTTAGGCCAAGGCATCTTTGGGAAATTACATTTGAGCATGATTTCTGTCTTTCTTCAGTGCAAGTAAAGAAAACTCTTCTCAGGATGTTGAAAGTAACTTTCCTTCTTCTGAAGATGCTCTCCACAAGTCTAAGACAATGAATAAGCCTCTTCCATCCTCCCAGTCTTCCTCAGAAATGCCTACACAGCCAGCTCCTCGGACCGTTACAGATGAGGAGATGAACTTTGTGAAGACCTGTCTCCAGAGGTGGAGGAGTGAGATTGAACAAGATATACAAGGTTTGGCTCCTTTAAAGTCTGTCAGTTACTCTGCCTTTTCTGTTGGTTTGAATATTTGGAAGTTGGGCACCTTGGGTACACTTCCTGCCATTTCCTCTTGTAAGTTGGAATTTGGTAAGGCAATTGTGACTTCCTCATACTTTAGTTTTCTATAAGGTTGATTCTTACTGCCATTATACAACTGTGGACAAAGCCCTCCAAGAGTCCCTCCTCAGTGTCTGGGACTTTCCGGGAAGCTTAGCCACTCCTGATAACCTTTGGCTGAGTTTTTTCTGTGTCTGCTGATTTCTGTTCCTGAAATTTATCTGAACTCTAACTTCACTTGACCCAAACTTAGAATTAACTTTCTTGGGGCCTCCCCGGTGGCGCAGCGGTTGAGCGCTGGGTTGTGAAGCTGCCCGCAGCCTCCGCCGTGCCGGTTCGATCCCCGACTGCTCCCCGGCCACCGGAGGAGGATCCCGCATGGCGCGCAGACCTCTCCTGCCGCCCGCTGCTCCCCTCAGCAGTGTACTTCGGTCCTTCTGCCTGCTCCGCTCCCCGCTCTGGCTCTGGTGAATTCTCTCACCCTCCCGCGCACTTCTGTATGTATAAATAAATAAATAAAGATGGAATTTCAAAATACTTTTTAAAAAAAAAAAAAGAATTAACTTTCTTGGAATTTTGTGTTTAAGTTATTTCTATATAAAGCATGCTTTTCTGAAGGTTAATGAGGCGGAGGTTATTTAAGCAACACACAATATAAAATTAAATTATGCAGCATTCTGCTCTCAAAAGTCCCTTGTCTTTGCCATGTTGCTCAGAGGAAAAAACAAAGTAAAAAAACAAAGATCCATATTCTTCCCATGTTCTTATTCACAGAAAATTGGCCCTGCCTTTTGCTCTGTCTTCTTTGGGATCCTGTCTCTGGGAATGTGTTTTATACCCAGATGACCCGTTAAGGTCTTTTGCTAAATAGGACTATGTTTCCTTCTTAAGTGATTTTGGTGCCAATATCATGAGATAATCTCTTTAAACCATGGTGTGACTATATTAAATAATGTAACTATATAGGTTATGTATGTTATGCAATTACATACGTACATATACTATGTTAAACTAAAAGCTTTCATAACCTAAAGCACTTAGCGGCTGTAAAACCATGTAGTCTTTAGTGGTTCCTAGAGTGAAGTTGAAATCATCAGAACCTCAGGTACAGAGAAGGAATACTCTTTGCTTAGTTCAAGCAACCCATGTGACATGAATGAAATCATTTTAATTAAATATTCTTTTTTTAAAAAACAGATCTAAAGAATTGCATTGCAAGCACTACCCAGACCATTGAGCAGATGTACTGCGATCCTCTCCTTCGTCAGGTAGAATGAAAATTGATGGGAAAGTAGTCAAGGCATGTTCTAATGATGCTGCTAATGTATGTACAAAAAGAAAGTTTGATAGTTTTCTTTGAAACCAAATGGTAACCTCCCTGAGATATAAGAATGAACTTAGAGGGCCTCCCGGGTGGCGCAGCGGTTGAGCGCTGGGTTGCGAAGCTGCCCGTAGCCTCTGCAGTGCTGGTTCGATCCCCGGCTGCTCCCCGACCACCGGAGGAGGGTCTCACATGGCGCGCAGATCTCTCCTGCCGCCCGTTGCTCCCCTCAACAGTGTACTTCAGTCCTTCTGTCTGCTCTGCTCCCCGCTCTGGCTCTGGTGAATTCTCTCACCCTCCCGCGCTTCTGACTATACCCAATGCTTGTTCAAATAAATAAATAAATCTTTAAAAAAAAAAAAAGAAAAAAGAATGAACTTAGAAAGGAAATAAGGATTGTTCTGTTTCTTAATTTTACACTAAAAAACAAGACACTATATCTTCTACCAACAAAAGAACCTAAAAATATTTGTTTTAGTTCTGCGACATGATATTTCATACAGTAGGAAGGTTTGCTATCAAATATTAATAACAATTTCTCACAAAATAGTAATTAAGTAGTGTCATGGGGGAAACCTGAGCCAAATACCAGGTACCACTCTCAACAAAATACCCTGATCCGGGCCTCCCTGGTGGCACGAGTTCGATCCCAGGCCAGGGAGCTACCCACATGGCACAGCAGACCTCTCCTGACTTGCCCGCTGCTCCCCTCCGCAGTGTATTTCAGTCAGCCTGCCTGTTCTGTACCCCGCTCTGTCTCTGGTGAATCCTCTCTGCCCCCTCCCCTACCCCCCGTGCCTCTGGCCTGTACCCCAGCTCTTGTATGGATAAAAATGAAGTGAATCTTTAAAAAAAAATAAGTACCCTGATCCTTCATTTAGACTTTTGAGTTTTGTTTCTCTAAGAACTCTAAGAGGGAGATGGTCAGGGCAGACATTATGATCCTCCACATTCATTTTGATTTAGTGTAACATTCTGAGCATAGAGGGAAAAAAGAGTCCAGTCAGGTGCATGACCTTTCAAGGTTGTTTCTAGACTAGCATGGAGAAACAGATCTGTTACATGGCAGAAATGCACCATGTAAATCTTGGGTTTTCCCCACTTTATCTTTTGTGTTATATGTCACAGTATCGCTTAAGTGTGTGTTTAATTTGATTCTATGGCTAATTTTTACCTTTTCTACAATACTTAGTTGACACTTAAGCATTGCTCTATTTTCACCTTACTGGGGGAAAAAAAGTATGCTTTCCAAATGTTGAAACAAGCAAATATATAGATAAAGGGTGTTTATCCTAGCCAGGTAGATGATCACATGAGATACAAAATATAGAGAACATGTGAATGCTTCAAAATGAAATATGCTAACTTAAATTTGGATCAAATAAGCATAGAGCAAGGTAATTTTTCTCTCTATGAGTGGTCAAGGTAATTCAATTTTTAGATAAACTGAGTTTGTAATTGGGGGAATAGAGATCTAAGTTATCTTTAGTTTATGATTTATAACCATAGAAATTTAGACTTGAAAGAGTTCTCAGAGAGATCATCTAATTCAGCTGCTTTTAAAGACTTGGGAACTGAGTCATAATTGGTGGATTCCAAAGTTGTGATTTTGTTAGTTCGTTTTCCTGTGAATCTCATATCAAACACAAATTTGGTCAGTTTTCCTATGTCTGTTAAGTGGGAATAATTTTAATAACCTAAAGTTTGTTATATTGCTTAGTCTAACCTTAATCAGAAATATGGCATCTGATTTGCAGGTACCATATCGCTTGCATGCAGTTCTTGTTCATGAAGGACAAGCCAATGCTGGGCACTACTGGGCCTACATCTATAATCAACCCCGACAAGTCTGGCTCAAGTACAATGACATCTCTGTCACTGAATCTTCCTGGGAAGAACTTGAAAGAGATTCCTATGGAGGCCTGAGAAATGTCAGTGCTTACTGTCTGATGTACATTAATGAAAAGCTCTCCCACTACAATGCAGGTAAAAATATCTTAGAAGCCAGATAGGGGGGAATTCTGTATTGATCTAGGAAGGCGAGTTGTTCCCGATAGACTTTTCTTCCCAGAAACTTTCCCTCATAGACTTTTCTTTCCCCTGCAGACTTTGCTCTATACAGGCTCTTCTCCCAGAAACGTGTTCCAAATAGACTTCTCCCCTCAAATTTTGCCTATGTACTTTTCTCCACAGGCACTCTGTTCCCGGTAAGCTTTTCCCTTCAGATTTTACTCTATGTAGGCCTTTTTTCCTCAAAATGTTGTATCTCATAGACTTTTCTTTTCTGTACCTTTGTTCCCAGTAGACTTTTCTCCACAGATTTTGTCCCATATACCCTATTCTCCCTGAGCAACTATGTTCCCCATAGACTTTTCTCCTCAGATTTTGCTCTATATGGACCTTTTTTTCCAGAACATTTGTTCCCAGTACACCTTCTGTTTATATTTTCCTCCATATAGACTTTTCTCCTCAAAAATTGAATTCCCAATAGATTTTTCTCCTCAGATTTTGCTCTCTACATACTCTTCTCAAAAACTGTGTTTCCAATAGACTTTTCTCAGATTTTGCTATTTACAGAATTTTCCTCTCAGAAACTGGTACCAATAGACTTTATAGATTTTGTTCTCTACAGTCTTTTTTCCTGAGAAACTTTGTTCTCAAACTTTTCCCCTTAGATTTTGCTGCACATAAACACTTATCTTATAAGGTACATATAAACACTTATTTTCACAGACTTCATTCTCCCAGGTTCTAAAAACTATTTCTGGATCAGAACCTCTCATCAGTTCTGGGTCTGACCACTTGCTACCACTAATGCAAACAAAAGGGCCTTTGGTTCAGCTTAAAACAACAACAACATTATTTTAACTGACAGGTAAAGACAACTTGCCGGATAGAGTTTACTAACCAATTTACCAACCATAGAGGTGAGATGGAGTTGCAGCTGTAGGAGCTGGCAGGTTATGGCAAGGCCTGCCATGTCAGGAGCTGGGGCCTGTGACACCCTGAGGACCAAGTCTTTACCAAGCCCTCCAACCATGGTAGGGTGAAGCAGAGGCCTACTGCTGCTGAAGTCAGAACATTCCCCCACCTGCCTGCCTGGCAAGACACCTGCTCTCTGCAGCAGCTCCAAAAACAAAGAGAGCAAACCCCCTATAAAAGGCTCCCACTCTACCTCCTTCCCAGCAGCCCTCTCATTCAGGGATCAGGAGTAGAGAGTTGTCCACTCTGGCCTGGGTGATGTCCTGAAATTGGAATGGAGTTTTGCCCTTCAACCTGTAGAAAAGTCCATCCATGTTTGCACACAGCCTAGGAGGCTGCATTGACCACCCCAAGGGCCTGGGGAATAGCCACCCAAGCCCACTCCAATACCAATAGCCTTTTCTTGTCAGCTTTTGCTCCATACAAACTTTTCTTAGAGTACTCTTTAAATTTTTCTACTGGAATTTGTTATTATTATAAAGTAATATGCATTTTAAAAATATAAGTGGTGAAAAAGAGCACATAAAGGAAAAATAAGTTTCCTACCTTCAAATTTTAACCCTTTCCAAATTTTCCAGATTTTGCTTTGTACAGATTTTTCTCCTTAGAAACTATTTCCAATAAACATCCATTGTTCCATTTCTTGTGTAGTTTTCAAGGAAAAATTCTATGCAGATACTAGATTTTATTTGTATAGCTCTCCATCCACCACCACCACCCCCTGCATTTTTTTCCCCTTAATGGGGTATTTTCTCATTCCATTCTGCATCTGTTACATCACATGAAATATGTATCTTATTTTCATAAATAAAACCAACTTTCTTTTTAATAACTGTATAAGAATTCCATTGCATGGAATATGTATGTTACTAAGCAAACCTTCATTGATAGTTTTAAGTTGTCTCTAGTTTCTTTGCTTTTTCAGAGACATCTTTGAGCACCCATTTCTGCACCTACTTTAGAATAGCTAAAATTTAAAATTTATTTGCCTGGACAGTTGCATACTTCTCATACTGCTACTAGTATTAATGCTAAAAACAATAATTACATAATTATCATTTATATGGGTGCTTTAATCCTTACTGCATGCTTTGCAACAGGTAGTTGATAGCTCTAAAAGGGAGGTAGGCAGGGTAAGAATTCTTATCATTCACATCTAAGGTGCCCTTCTTGTTCACAGTTACACAGTCAGTAAATAAAGGGTAGGTCCAAGATTCAAATACAGTTCTGACTCCAAATTCTTTGCTGTTCTTCATTTATATTATTTTGCCTTTCTTTCTTTCACACCTTCTGAGAGAGGTCTTTTGACCAGCATTTTACATCTAAGATCAGAGAAGGCCTTTTCTTTTAGTATTCAAACTACCATATTGTGTCAGAAGAAAACACATAAGCATTTTGTCTAGGAAACACATTATCTTTCTGACTTTCCAGTGTTTTGGGGGTTCGGGATGGAGAGAATGAGCATTTAAGAGTAACTGATTTCATAATTGCTTATTTGCAGTGCAAGGCAGGAAGAGCTGCTTGTGGGAGTTATTGTGCAAATAATTATACTTACTGATGGAAGTAGAAAGTAGCCTTGATATAACTTGTGTGGTTGATTTTTATATTATAGAAACAAACAAGTGAAAACTCATTTGCTTAGTGAAAAGACTAGTTAATAACAACCAGTGTGTGTAGTGTTGTTCTGCTGTAGGTTTGTTTTTCTATTTTGGTCACAGGGTTAGAGATCAAATTTAATATGTCCTTGTTATCATTGCCATTTTTCATTATAGCTTTAAATGAGCCAGGTGTTATTGACTAACCATTGTGTCAAACTGCTTTCTAATAATGTACTTACTTGTGTGAAACTTGAGGCAGTATAAATGTCTTAGAGTACCCTGACCCTCTTGATATCAATATTTTCAATAATAGGTACAGTAATTACATTGAGAAAACTTAGTTTAAAATTTCTGTTCAATCTGATTTTCTGAACTTTGAAGGAAACTTTGGTCTGTCCTTGCTACTTTGTCAGTGATACCCTTTACTCTTAAGTCCTGTTTTATCATTCATTCATTCATTCATTTATTCAACAGGCATTCAGAGATTTAGTGAGTGCCTGCCTACTAATATGCCAGGAACTCTTATTTGTATGCTATGACTGTTGTCAGCATTTCTGTGTGCATTTGTGTATGTATTTTTCATTAAAAATAATAAGACTAAGCATCTTATTTTCTTTCTTTGTAGAAAGGTCCTATGATTTCTCATGACCTTTTGCGGGGTGGTACTTCATTTAATTCCATCATTTTTTTCCCTCAGAGGCAGCCCCAAAAGAATCAGATCAGATGTCAGGAGAAGTGGAAGCTCTATCTGTTGAACTTAAACATTACATTCAGGAAGATAACTGGAGATTTGAGCAAGAAGTGGAAGAGTGGGAGGAAGAGCAGTCTTGCAAAATTCCTCAAATGGAATCCTCAACCAGCTCAACATCACAGGATTTCTCTCCCTCACCAGGTACCTGGGAAGGGTACTTAAGCCAGTGATCTAGTAGCATTCATGCTGTATGCCCTCATCAGCCCCATGCACCTCAGCTAACGGAGTGATACCGCAGTCTGCTGTGGTTGGTAGCACAACCTCATGGAATAACTTATGGATTTAGAATGTGATTTCTAGTCAGCAGAAGTAATATCAGGAAGACTAGCTACCTGTGCTTCTATTGTTTAGTTTTTGTTTATTTCCCAAGTCATTGACTAAATCATGATAGGATTAGTAGGTCAATTTTATGGAAAAAACCATTCTCCAAAGGTGATCTTCCTAATAGGTGGTTGTTTGTAGGGCGCCTTCTTGGCATAAAGAAATATGACAAATATAGCATTAATTTTTTAATTAAATTTGTTTATATATATACACACACACATCATTGTTCATTTTTGTACATTGTTTGGTTTCTCCTCTCAGGCATAGTCCTCATAAAATTCCCACCACCAAGGCACCAGAACATTCAATTTTAAAGGATCACCTTTGGGTTTTTGCTGAAGTAGCCATTTCATCTAGTCACTGGTGTCTAAGTGAAATTTGCAGATATTTTTTAAAGTTTTGTTAGAAGGATTATCTATCAAATTTTGTTTCTATCCTGCTTGCCTTTTTCAGAGCTTTCTAGAAGTTATTCATCATAACATGCTAATTCATTCGTACAATTTTTTGTCAGAGCCTTCAGTCACCTCTTCTCATGGGGTTCGCTGCCTGTCGTCTGAGCATGCAGTGATTGTAAAGGAGCAGACTGCCCAGGCGATCGCTAACACAGCACACGCTTACGAGAAGAGTGGTGTGGAGGCAGCCCTGAGTGAGGTGAGGACGGCTCAGAAGCCCAAATTCAGGAGGGGCGGACTTTCAGCAGTAATTGCAACAATCTTCTCACATTTCTATTATTCTGTGTCTCTGCTGTATTTAACCAGTTCCTCTTTATTTCTCCTGTTTTTTGTTTTTTGTTTTTTTCTTTACTCTTTCTCCATTCTGCTGCCACAGCTTAAGGAAGCTGAACCCAAGAAGCCCATGTCCCCGGAAACAAACCTTGCAGAGCAGTCAGAGCAGCTCCCCAAGGCTAATGATGCCGAATCTGCTACCCAACCTAATTCTGAGGTCTCTGAAGTCGAGATTCCCAGTGTGGGAAGGATTCTGGTTAGATCTGATGCAGATGGATATGATGAGGAGGTACAAAGATGAGTGCAGGATTTAGCTGTTCGTTGTCAGTCTTATATTTACTTCTCGTGTGACTGAATATACTTCTTTAAGGTTTCTGGCAATAGTTAATATTCTCATTAAAACAAATAATGGACAGGGGTCCCATCTAATTTAACCTCAGTTACCATTATGAAATAGGTAACTTGTTCCCTATGTACATGGGTCCCAGTATATAGCTACCCAGGCATGTACTTATGGAGCTGACTGCAGAGTCTGGATGACTCTGAAAGTTAGAATGCTTCCTTTTTAGGAATTATAAGCCAAAAAATGCCTGTTTAAGTTAAGAATGTTTTTAATGTTAGTCTGTTTTTCCTGCAAATATAAATTATTGTCTGGGGAGCAAAACAAATGTGATTGAAGTTATTGTTTTTAATTCTGAAGTTTTACAAAGAAGCTGTAGAATCCCAAGTCATTCACTGTTTATCTCCTTTTCATTTGTCATTGCACATAAACAATCATGAATCCTGTCCCTCGGATTTCTGGTCTTTTCTGTGGAACATGTATTTTTCAATCATGGGGAGGTTTTCATTGTAGAGTCCCATTTGTATCCTCCCTAGCTTCCAAACTGTTTGAAATGTGCTGTTTATCCTAGTAAAACTCAGAAGTACTTGTGTGCTTATGATATACACTCAGACTACAGGACTAAATTGGAATTTTTCACCCCAGATACTTCCCTCTGAAGGGTATCATTTTTACTTGGTTCTTCAGCAGTGCCACATTATAGATATTTTTAGACATATATCTTTATTCATCTGCAAAATCAGAATACATAGGAATGGCTTGTCTTGGGTGAGGTCCTGGTGGTGTGTAGAGGAATGTGTGCAGGAGCTGGTGTGGGCTACTTGGCGTGCACAGGCACTGGCCAAGAAGTGCCCTGCCCTGCTTCCCGTCAGCAATCTGCTCACCTGTCTTTCACACTCTTCTTTTGAACCTTTCTTCTCTCCTTTTTCTCTCTGTTTTGTGCCCTCCTGTGGTAGGTGATGCTGAGCCCTGCCATGCAAGGGGTCATCCTGGCCATAGCTAAAGCCCGTCAGACCTTTGACCGGGATGGGTCTGAAGCAGGGCTTATTAAGGTATCTCTGCTTTTTCCTTTCTAATTCTTATGCCACAGGTACCATAATATGGGGAAATAATGCTATCAGACGGCAAAAAAAAAAAAACCAATGGAATTGAAAATGCTTTTCAGTGAGATAAGACCTAAATGCCCTTTCTTGTGCTGTGAAGGAACATGCTCTGCTGCGGCCCAGTGGCTCCTCCTGCTGTGGCACTAATGCAGCCTCGGGGAACAACACAGTCTGGGTCACACGAGCCTGAGGGCTGACTGTTGTTAGGAAATGTCTATTAGTAAAGCTGTGAGTGAGGCTGGGCCCTTTGTAAGTCTTCAGAAAGGAGGCCATGCTTTTTAAGATACTTGAGTAAAATTTAATATTTGAATAAATTTCTCCTATGTAGACCTTTTAAATTCATATCCTCGGAACTTAAGGATATGTCTGAAACAATTAAAACTAATTATTTGTCTTTCTAATTGTTTGTCTTTCTAAGATCTTATCGGATAAATGAGCTTCCTATGAGTATATTATATGTTTGGTCCTGAATGTTAGAGAAGTTTCATTGCATATGAGATGTAAAACTTAGATATTCTGTAGTTGCATCTGCAATTCCTCAGTGAGAAAAATTTCTTTGAAGACTTCTTAGCATCCTGAAAACCTCTCCAGACCTTAGGACTCCAAGTCTGTGTGTAGAAGCTCTGACTGTCCGTTCTGTCTCATAGGCATTCCATGAAGAATATTCCAGGCTCTACCAGCTTGCCAAAGAGACCCCCACCTCACACAGCGATCCTCGACTTCAGCATGTGCTCGTCTACTTCTTCCAAAATGAAGCACCCAAAAGGGTAGTAGAACGGACCCTTCTGGAACAGTTTGCTGATAAAAATCTTAGCTATGATGAAAGGTGAGAAGGGAATACTCAGTTGAGCCACACGCTCTTTCTGGGTCTGGCTCAACTTCCTCTTCTGATGGGGTTCTGTGCACTGTACCCTTTCCCTGCCTCTGAACCATCTCCCTCACAGGTCAATCAGTATTATGAAGGTGGCGCAAGCTAAACTGAAGGAGATTGGCCCAGATGACATGAATATGGAAGAGTATAAGGTAAAGTCTTTAAATACAAAGCAAAACTCAATTCCTGAGGCAAAATGTAACAGTTTTGTGTTGCCACAAAATTTATCCACCCACCCCACCCACCCCCCAAAAAAAAAGAAAAACAGACTGGGTGAGAATGATTTTTTTTTTTTTTAATATTCCCCATACAATTACAACCCCCTTACTGAAAATGATCTTTTCTTAACCTTCAGAATAGCTGGTTCTTTATTCTTATCCTTCTACTAAAATAAATCAACCCTTTATTTCCCTTAAATACCTACTTTAGCCTGTCCTTGGCAGTAAAATTCTTGAATTCATGATTCTGGTTTGTTTCAAGTAATACATTTTTGTTTTCTATTTTAGAAATTAAATTTCCGACCATTAAAGTGCATATATAACTGCAATCTCCCCCCAGTCCAAAGCATTGTGTTCTGAGAAAACAGTGTCATGTACCAACTCTGCTGTGCCCACCACACTCATTGAACTAGAGTGTTATTCTGTTATTCTGTTTGATTAGAATGGCCTGGTCCTTCCATCTTCCCCGCATTGGGATGGTTTCATCAGAACCCAAAAGATCATTCTTTTAAACCAGAGCTGAAGGACTTTGATGAGTGTTGGAAATTAAGATAATAAATTTTAAAGCTCATGTGAAATAAATATTTTATCTCAAATCCTTCGTTTGTTGCTTTTGTGCTTGGCCATTTGTGCTCAATAAATACTTGTACTGACTTTAAAACTTACTGTGGTGGCTAATGTAGAAATAGCTTATTGTGGTTGTAATCATTAATGATGGTCATTCCTTTTCAGAAGTGGCATGAAGATTATAGTTTGTTTCGAAAGGTGTCTGTGTATCTCCTAACAGGCCTGGAACTCTATCAGAAAGGAAAGTACGTTCATTTCACTAAGGTTAACCTTTCGTTTCACTAAGGTTATTGGTCAGGACTCTTATTTACTGATGCCTGCTCAGAAATTCTAAGAATCACAGTCATTGATCACCTCCCTTATCATGCTCAGTGCACCCCTACTTCCTCCAGTGTTCAGTTCCAATCTGAACAACACACAAAACTCACACAATGGTGAGTTTATTAGTATGAACCCTATAAGCCTCTAGTCCACCTCTTTAAATTTTAGAGTTGGGAAAGAAAGAAGCCCAGAGGAGTTTCGTGATTTTCCTTGGGTTTCTCAGCCAATTTGTAGAATAGCTGAGAGTGGCTGCCATCTTTGGCCCTCAGGCTTTTCCCATTATGCCACGTTGCTTCCCTCTTCCAGATTTTTCTGTAATTGCAGCCAAATTAGTTCTTGTATTAGGGATCCGTGAGGTCTAAGCCCTTGCTTTTGGAGAAGGAACACTCAGCTTTTGTTTATCTACTATTTTCTAAGGTACCAAGAAGCACTTTCCTACCTGGTATATGCCTACCAGAGCAATGCTGCTCTGCTGATGAAGGGTCCCCGGCGGGGGGTGAAGGAGTCAGTGATTGCTTTATACCGGAGAAAATGCCTACTGGTTTGTACTGTTTGTAAAAATCTTATAATTTCTATTATTTTATTGTGTTTATCTCTGTTCCTTGAAGCCATGAAGAAATATCACTTAAACAAAATATTTGGGGGTCAAAGGCAAACTTCTAGTTATGGATTAAGCAAGTCCTGAGAATGTAGTGTACGTTATGGTGACTGTAGCTAACAATACTGCATTGCATGTGTGAAAGTTGCTAAGAGAGTAGATCTAAGAAGTTCTCATCACAAGATCAGTTTGCAACTATGTATGGTGTCATGGTGACCATGTCAACTAGATTTACTCTGGCTATTGTTTCACAGTATATACAAATACTGAAAATTTATTTTGTATCCCTGAGGCTATTGTATGTCATATGTCAAATATACTCCAGTTTGTTTTTTTTTTTTAAAAAAAAAGCTCTCCAGTGGGCTTTAGATTCTTTCAAATTATCAAGTGTAGTTTTACATGGAAGCAGATTCTCTTAGTTCCTTAAGTGAGCTACATTTTCTGACTTATTTTTTGATTTCTGAATCAGTTATAAGCATGACAGGGCCATTTTGAAATTGAAAAAAGGACCTTGTAGATGACAGATCTAAATTTTATTAGTCATGCTTTTATGTAGATTATATCTTGCCAGTCCTCACCTCCCACAGTAGACAAGAGTAGGAAATTAGATTCTTTCCATTGCTGTCTCTTACCCCTCAGTGTGCATTAGAGTCACCTAAAGAACTTCCCCCTACTGATGATGCCCAGACCCCTCCTGGACAGTTACACCCAAGACTCTGGGAGGCCCCTGGGCATCTGTGTGTCTTCTGTAGCTGATTCTGATGCTCAGTGGAGATTGAAGACTGCCAAGTGAGACTTTGAGTAGAAGTAAGTGTTAAGCATTACTTTGACTTTAAATTTAGGCCAGTGGGAATCATCTTTTAAAGTATCTCAATGTGTGGATCACCTGCCTACCTGTTAAATCAGCATTGGTTGAAATAGTAGTAGTTTTTCATTTTCAGACTTTTTTTTTCATTCTGCTTTTTATCTGTAGGAGCTGAATGCTAAAGCAGCCTCTCTCTTTGAAACAAATGATGACCACTCTGTAACAGAGGGCATTAATGTGATGAATGAGTTGATCATTCCCTGCATTCACCTTATCATTAATAATGACATTTCCAAGGATGACCTGGATGCCATTGAAATCATGAGACACCATTGGTTCTCTTACTTTGAGCAAGATATTGCAGGTATGTTGTTGTTAGCACTTATAATTCCTAAGGTTCTTCAGAATTCTGGGAATCACAGTGGTCTCACTCTATGATAATGGTTGTCAAACTTGTCAAAGAGATTATTGGAACTGCTAGCATATAAGTTAACAGGGAATCTGCTCATTGGAACAAGTCGGGGGATCCTGCGCCTCCCTCCCTCTTAGCCTTTCCCTCCCCTCTGGCTGCTGAGGCGTTTCCACAGCCAACAAGCCCTGCTTGGCAAAATCACTCTTCTCCAAGAACATCAAACTTCTATCACTGTTTCATCTACCAAAATCTGAACTCTTTAATTACAATTTAAAAATCAAAATTTATTTATGTAGTTTGATTACCTGATGGTGCCACAGCTAAATTTTCCTGTGACTTAAACTTGCAACGCAAGCATAATATTAACTATGATGCCTTCAAGATTAATCAGTCAGTAAATGAAATATCCTTGCTGTCCAAAGCATTTTGGAGGCCCTAAAGTAGTTATTTTTAGGTGAATTTGGTAGACTTAGAAAATTGGTTTATGAATACTCTTTGTTAGTTTCTCAATGATTTAAGGATTGTTTATTACAATGTTCAGGTTTACAATCTCTATTGGGAAATTTTATAATAATCACTAACCATAAATTTCTTTCAATTCAGTTTTTCTTTCGACCATGTGTGAGACATAGCTTTCCTTACTACCATATGCACACACTGATGTGTTTTAATCATTTGAAAGAAAGTAGCAACATTATATTTATGGTATAGGGTATAATATCCACTTTCTCAAGGGTTAGAAGGATGTTCCCATAATGAAGTAACTATGTAGTGTTATAAAGCAGTAGCCAAAACTTTGATATATGTGTCAATTAGATCCATGCTTCTGGCATAGCCTGTAGGAATCATCGTTTATGGTTAGTTGAGCAGCATAATGCTTTTGAGATTGGGTAACGGGTTATATGGAAGGCCTTCCTGTGTAGTTGTAAACTTACTCAGTTTTTACACCGAGATCTCTCTACTCTATGTGTAACCATCCATTTTCCCTCCACAGAAAATCTAAAGCTGTGCGTTGGGGAGTTTCTACCCAGACTTCTAGATCCTTCTGCAGAAATCATTGTCTTGAAGGAGCCTCCAACTATTCGACCCAATTCTCCCTATGACCTTTGTAGCCGATTTGCAGCTGTCATGGAGTCCATCCAGGGGGTTTCAACTGTGACTGTGAAATAAGCCCCACATGCTGAAGGCCCATTCTGGTCTTTGGTTGCCTGTCGGTTGCACAGAAGTCTGTTGTCACAGTGTTTACCTTGGGAAAGGGATTAGGTGGAAAAGTAAGATTCAGAGCCAGCCCCCAACTATGTCATGTGTGTAAAGAAGGATTAAAAATAAAATTGCACTTTTTTGGTACAGAATCATGAATCAGTTTTCACTGAAAAGGCAAGAACCAATGTATTGGATATTGAATTATGCCAGAAAACCTGCAATGCCTTGTGTACCTACCAGATTGCTTGGGCTTTTCTAAGCCTCTTACCACTTTTTAAAATTATCCTTCAGGCATAAATATTTTTGACAGCAGAATTGAAGGGTGATTCATCAGAACCTGAACCAGACGAACAGCTACTAGTTATTTTATCAAGTACAAATGACATTTAAAAATTGTTAACAGCAAGAGATGAGAAATAAAATCTAGCCTAGCCTGGCTCTTGATGAGATGACAAAATGGGTTGCTGATGAACCACCACCTTTTTACATGTGGGTAGAATAGAAGGTCATGTGGCAGTGAGATGCTGGAAATTCAAAAGAAAACTGCCTCTCCTTTCTTTCTTCTCTCTTTTATTTTCTATTTTAAAATAAACCAGAAAACCTCTCACTCAGTTCTGAGTGAAAGAAAGGAAAGTATTAAGGACTTTAGACAAAATGACATTATGAAACCTGCCTAAAGCTAACATTTTGATAGTTGTTACCCATTTAGGTAAAATTTTCTAGCAGCTAAAAATTGTCAATAACAGATGACTAAGGCAGCTGCTGGCCCAAAAGTACATTTTGATGCTATTCCCCTTTTTTGCTCTGAAAAAATAAGGGATGTGGGTTTGTAAAAAGAAAAAAAATCTTTATATATATGTATATGTAGAGAGAGATATTCCCCATTGAGCATTTTTAAAAGACTTCAGATTGGGTATTGTGTTTTAGCTAAATTTTCAGATTACTGAGGGTCTGGTGGGAGGGAAGAATACTTGATACAACTATGCAGATTTTATAAATGTGCAATAAAAGTATTTGTTTTACCTTTGGTGTGCAGTATGGCCTTTATTGAAATACAGATTTTTTTGTTTTCAAAATGATTGGACTCCACAAGCATCTGTCATGCTCCAGTTTTTCTTCTTAAAAAGAGAAAAGCAGATAAAGGGATTGAGAAGCTTGATGGGGATGAATAAGACCTGCAACAGACCTTTCTTTGGCAGCACCTAGTGGTGACTGAGATCTTTTCACCTTATTAGCTAGTTGCATTGCATGTAAATGTGTCCACTTTGTAATTTGGAAATTTAGAAGGACAAAATTTATTTTCATATTGCTGAACTTCCCAGTGTTTTGCTTAAATTAGTGGTAGGCCACCTTCTATAGACATGCAGAGGTGCTTTTGTGTTTTGAAGTTACTGCCGGGCCTCCCCTGTGGCGCAGCGGGTTGAGCGCAGCACTGTGAGGCTGTCCGCAGCCTCTGCAGCTCCTGTTCAATTCCCACCTGCCAGGGAGATGGCCACATGGCGCGGCAGACCTCTGCTGTTGTGCCTGCTGCTCCCCTCAGCAGTGTATTTCGGTCCTTCTGCCTGTTCTACTCCCTGCTCTGTCTTTGGTGGATTCTCTCATCCTCCCACGCCTCTGGCCTGAACCCCAGTGCTTGTATAAATAAATAAATCTTTTTTTTTTTTAATAATTTTTTTTAAATTTATTTATTTATACAAGCACTGGGTACAGTCAGAAGCGCGGGAGGGTGAGAGAATTCACCAGAGCCAGAGCGGGGAGCAGAGCAGGTAGAAGGACCGAAGTACACTGCTGAGGGGAGCAGCGGGCGGCAGGAGAGGTCTGCGCGCCATGCGGGACCCTCCTCCGGTGGCCGGGGAGCAACCGGGGATCGAACCGGCGCTGCAGACTCTGCGGGCAGTTTCGCAACCCAGCGCTCAACTGCTGCGCCACCGGGGAGGCCCTAAATAAATAAATCTTAAGAAAAAAAAAGTTACTGCCAAGATTTGTTTCAGGGGAAATTGATCCATTTTCACACCCATTGATTAAAATTCTAAGCACCAGCATTTGCCTCTATTTTAAATCCTTGTCATTATTGAATACTGTGCACAGTTATATTGTTTCACTTACTGTAACAACCCTGGGACAATGGGGACTGTGGTCATAGAGGCTGTGACTGGTTGGGCCAGGACACTACCACTTGATGTGTCTCACTTCATAACCTGTGCTTTTTGGTTGCTCAGTCATCATAGGCCTTTCCACTTTAGTTATTTCCTAGTCAGTGATTAAGAATCTAGTTGGTCAAGAAAGGAACAGAAGGACATCTGTAGTATGTGGTGGTGAGTAGTTTGTGTCAATTGGATCCACCCAAACCACCAGGGCAAATGCCAAGAAGTAATTTCTTTTTCCTCACTTTAGCTGGCTGCCTTAGCTATAGCCTGATTGCTTATGGGGACCACAAACTGATTTTTAAGCATGACTTTTACATGTTTGAGGATTGTCATTCTTGACAATGAGGATGAGGAGAAGGGGTTGGAAACCTAGGTAATCCTTAATCTAAAGTGATAACCAGGGCTTGGTCTGGCTCCTTGACCTCGGCATAAATTCCCTTGAGACTGGATTTAGACTTTCCTTGCTTAACTACAGTGCAATCCTCTTCTGTTTGGATTTGCTAACTCCTTTAAGAACCATGAGGCAGGGCCTCACCTGGTGGCGCAGCGGTTGAGCACTGGGCTGAGAAGCTACCGGCAGCTTCTGCAGCGCCAGTTGGATCCCCGGCCGCAGGCGAGGGTCCCACATAGCGCGCAGGCCTCTGCTGCCGCGCCCACTGCTCGGCTTAGCAGCATATTTCATCAGTCTGCCTGTTCTGTTCCCTGCTCTGCTCTGGTGAATTCTCTCACCCTCCCGCACTTCTGACTGTACCCATTGCTTAAATAAATAAATACATCTCTAAAAAAAAAAAAAAAAAAGAACCATGAGGCATATAAACTCAGTTTTACCTTACGCACTTCCAAGAAAGATGTGCAAAGTGGATACATAGTACAGTTTAAATAAGGAGTGAACAAGAGGCAGACTGAAGGTCTGGGAAATAGCGGGGATGGTATAGAAAGGGGAAGTAACTATAGCTGTAGTTTATTATTTTCATTGCCCAGTTTTTGTATCTTATTGTGAATATATCTTATGTGAACATATAGGAATATATCTTAAGGCTTATTCTACTGTCGATTGCGGTGTTTTCACTTTGGGGTCATTATGCATAATGTTATCAAGAATATTCATGTACATGTCTTTAGATGCAAATACAAATTCATTTCTTTTGGTATGTCACTGGACTGGAATTACTAGGCTATTAGGTATTACCAAACAGTTTTCCAAAGCAGTTATACCAATTTAAGCTTGCACTAGCAATTTATAAGAATTCTAGTTCAACATTTGGTTTCTTCAGTCTTTTTAATTTTAACCATCCTGGTAAATCTATGATGATAACTCATCCTTCTAACTTGCACTTTTCTGCACACTAATGATACTGATTTATGTACTTACTGGCCTTTGGCTGCTCTCTTTTGTGAAGTACCTATTTGTTTGAGGCTTTTGCCTATTTTTTGTTGAATTTATTGTCTTTTTTAAACTGATTTATAGTTTTTAAATTTTTATAGTTTTTAAAGTAGTTACGGAATTTTTTGTTGGTTATATGCATTGCATTTGTTGCCCTACTCTGTCTTCTCATTCTTGATGTCTTTTATGAAAATGTTTTTAATATTAAGGTGCAATTTATCAGACTTTCTTTCTTTCATGGTTAGTGTTTACTGTGTCCTAATGAGGAAACTACTACCCAAGGTCATGAAAATGTTTTCCTGTGTTAACTCCAGAAGTTTTACCTTTCACATTTAACTGATTGACTCAGTTGAAAACTTTGTCCTTTTTCCCATACTATATACGTTTGTCATAAATCAGATGTCTACATAGGAGTCCTATTTCTGAAGTTTTTTGTTTTGTTTTGTTTTGTTTTTTAAGATTTATTTATTTATTTATACAAGCACTGGGTACAGTCAGAAGCGCGGGAGGGTGAGAGAATTCACCAGAGCCAGAGCAGGGAGCAGAGCAGGCAGAAGGACCAAAGTACACTGCTGAGAGGAGCAGTGGGCAGCAGGAGAGGTCTGCGGCGCCATGTGGGACTCTCCTCCGGTGGCCGGGGAGCAGCCAGGGATCGAACCGTCACCGCGGAGGCTGCGGGCAGCTTCGGAACCCAGCGCTCAACTGCTGCGCAACCGGGGAGGCCCATGAAGTCTTCAGATATTGGTCTGATACCAGTATCACACTGTCAAATAGCTTAGCTTTGTGTTAATTTCCAATATAATGTCCACTTTTAAACTTCTTTAAGATCATCTTTGCTATTTTTGATCTTTTGTGTTTCCATATAAATTTCAGAATCAGTTGTCAGTTCACCCATTGCAAACACAAGTCTCCAATGCATACCAAAGGTAGCCTCCCCAAATTAGCATTTTGATTTTGGTGTAAGGACAGAATCCCCAGTGATGGCCTAGGACTAGTTTGATCATTGACTAGGTCATCTTGACCATCCCTGCCTAAGGGATAGCCAGATATCATTCGTAAGTTTTTTTTTTTTTTTAAATGATATTCTTTTTTTTTTTTTTTTTAAGATTTATTTATTTATACAAGCACTGGGTACAGTCAGAAGCGTGGGAGGTTGAGAGAACTCACCAGAGCCAGAGCGGGGAGCAGAGCAGGCAGAAGGACCGAAGTACACTGCTGAGGGGAGCAGCGGGCGGCAGGAGAGGTCTGCACACCATGCGGGACCCTCCTCCGGTGGCCGGGGAGCAGCCGGGGATCGAACCAGCGCTGCAGAGGCTGCGGCCAACCTCGCAACCCTGCACTCAACCGCTGCGCCACCGGGGAGGCCCTCATTCGTAAGTTTAATAGTTCTATAGTGTTCGTGAATGGAATCTGACACATCTGAATTCAAATATCAGCTGAACCTGTTATCCTGGTCTATAAAATAGGAAATACCTTGCAATTATATTTTAAGAATTAAAGGAGACAGTAAATGTAGTAATTATAGTATAGAGTCAAGGTACAATTCTCATGGGGAAATTTGTCATAAATCAAGAACTGAAGCATTTCCCTAGCTTGGGGAGGGCCCACAGGTGAATATGAAATATTTGGGGTATATTATAGATTCCCAGAGCAGGATGGGTCTCTGGCATCTGAACAGAAAACAGAAATGTTGAAGGCTTCAGGGCTTACATTAGATAGAAGAATTATAGTATCTCCTATCTGATTCTTTCCTGCTTAGATATATTTCTTTAGTAAATTTATTGACTTTCCTGAACTTAATAGGGTTCTATGACTCAATAGTTCTCTGTCTCTCCTGCTTCCTTACGAAGTGAACTTTTGGATCTCCTTTCTCTGCCCCTTGACAGCATCTCAGGAAGATCTCATAGCTTTATTGTCATGTTTGAGCATTTAGACAATGATTTTCATGTTTTGTAGAGTCTGGACAATCTAGATAAAAAATTTACTGATTCATTGGCTTTGGTGTTTCTCCCATCACCTTAGTTTAGACCTCAGCCTGAAGTTCAGGGGCCAGCAGTAAGGAAGGACCAAAGAATGTGCTGGTACACTCCCTGCTCCATTTCCTCCTCACCCCCAACTTCTGGCTCCCCTCAAGCCTGCGGGAAGAGAGTTTAGGAGTAGAAGGTCAAGGATGTTGTTTGCTTTTTAAGAAAGCAGTTTTCATAGTACTTGCACTCTTAAGTTCTCAAATGTCCTTTGTGATGGCAGGAATCAAATTATTATCTATTGTTTGGGGTCAAATGTGTGTTCTTCAAAGAACCCTGTAGAAAACCTCTGCAAGGCCCCTGATGGGGTATTTGGACCCTCTGGCTGTAGCTCTTACTGTCCCACTCAGCTCCTGCTTTAGTAATTCACACCTTCCAGCAGTGCTCTGGGACAGTGTTACCTGGACTGCCTTTGCCAACATCCATTGGACTGTGGAAAGCTGACCATCCTGCTGCAGTAAGAGGCAGAGGGGCAGGTGATGCCACCACACCCACTCCAGCCAGCCTCCTGCAAAGTGGTCATGGTTAGGCACCAGCTCTGTGCCTCCATCATGCAGGTCAGTTCTTTCCAAGAATTTTGGGGGGCAGGCACCATTCTGATGGCAGTAGAAGTGGACCTGCAGTTTCTTTCCTTATTTTTTTAAAGAAAGTCTTTTCTTAAATATTTTATTTATGCATACAAGAGCTGGGGTGTAGGCCAGACGTGGGGGAGGGGTGAAAAGATTCACCAGAGAGAGAGTGGGGAGCAGAACAGGTGGATCTACTGACATACACTGCTGAGGAGCAGCAGGAGAGACAGGAGAGGTCTGCTGCACCATGTGGGTCAGCTCCCTGGCTGGGGATCGAACTTATGCTGCAGTGGCTGCTGATAGCTTCATAGTGCTGAGACTAAACCCCTTGCGCCACCAGGGAGGTCCTGGTGCAGTTTCTGCAGCTCAGCACCTCAGCATAAATAGGATGTGTGTTTAGATGCTGGTCTTCCCTCTTGGGGACAACTGCCATGTAGGAGTAATTCTCATAAGGTCCATCTCCACCCCATTCCTCATGGGAAAGTGTAGAGAATATCACATTACTCAAAACTGTTTTGAATTTCATTCCAGAATTCTCCCTAATGAATTTGCATAAGCTTTCATTTGGGTTGGTGGATATGAAGACAAGTTTGACCACTACTTAAGCAACAATATGTTGAGATTCTCGCTTTAAAATATAGGGCACAGAGCACCCACAGGACTTGGCTCTGAAGATTTAGTCATAATTCTGGACAACAAAGCAGTCCATTGAACATACTAAAAATTTGGATGAGGTAGCAATGACAGTGATGGGCTACTATCTTTTTAATTGAAGTAACATTGGTTTATAAAACTAAAAATGATTTAGAGGTATAGAATCACACCCTTCAGGTGTATGTTACCACACCACACCTTCCTCCAAGACACTCATAGTCCTCCACCATAGTCCATTGTGCCCTTCCACACTTTGTTCTGCCCTCCTTCCTGCTCTGGTAGCCTCAATTTGAAAGAAAATGACTGACTTTAAAGAGATAACCTCATCAGTTGGTAGAGTAGATGGTAAACTGTAGCTTCTTTTAGTCCCTATTATTGATAGATGCCAGTGATTGCAAACATTTCCCTAACTCTGAGTTTCTTCTTGTCCCAACCCTGCTGCTCTCTCCTGCCCATCTCTGCCCATGTCCATGAAACCATTTCTCACTCCCATCCCCAAATGTGGGACCCCAAGTTGGGATCCCTTAAGAATTTCCCCCTAGATCTGTTCTCAGAGGCTCAGAAGGATAACAAATGTGTATTTTAATAAGTACCTTCTGGAATGCCTTTTCTGCTAATAGTGAAATTTTCTAACCCAAAAGACTGGTGGAGAAAATGACACTGAGGCTTCTCCAATTCTAGCTCTATCAACTCCATGGGTCCCTAAGGCAATGTCTTACACATAATCAAGGCCACTGGCCTGAATACTGACTGATGTCCTTTCCTGCTTCTAACACACCTTACCACACATCTCTCCATGTGTAATCACATTAAGTTTTTTAAATGCTAAAATAATTTTCCACACATCTATATGAAAAAAAGGCTGAGTTGAAGCTAAGATTCAGTTAGTTCTATTTTTAGTATTTCCACATGCAAAGCACGTAGGAAGAAATGGTGGCAGTTTTAGATGAAAAGCATTTTTTCCCTCATACTTTCTCAAAAAGTGGATTCCTACCAGAATACAGGTGACAATCCCTTCTGGGGATGACATTCTGTGGGTTACTTAGGAATCAATCAACTGTCCCACCTCACTGCCACTTTTTAAAAAAAATACCTTTGTGACCTTTATAAGAAGAGTCAGGGAATACTTAACACATCTTTAGTTTGCATCCATATCTTTGCAGAGGAAGGCATGATCACATGCCGATGAAAAACATAAGCACCTGCAAATGTGGGATTGTGAGAACTGCAGGCCACCAGCAGGAGCAGGTGGCCAGCCTGGAAACAAAGACCCTGTTTAGAACTCAACAAAGGCCCAAAGGGTAAGGTTGTTCTTTGTACATCATTGTTTTTTCCTTCTGCTTCAGTGCTAGTTTTTCCCTTAGTCTGGTGTGTTGTCCTGGCAACACATCCCATGAAGCCAGAGGTTGGGTTGAGGAAAGTTTGCCTCTCATCCAAACCCTGACTTTAAGCCCTGACTAGCTAACTGCTCATCATGGGCACGCTGCCTCTTTTCTCTATACCTCGATTTCCTCATTAGCAAAACAAATAATACCTGCTATCCCAACCTCAAAAAAATAATTTCAAAATATGTTAAGTAAAGCTACGAAGATATGTGAAAGTGCTTTAACCCCGGTAGGGAAGCCACAGGGGCTGGGTGTTAGAGGAGGTGTTGCTACTCTGGCTTTGCTGTAGGCCTGAGAACACAATCCACTATCTGACCTATGGCCCCTTCAACATCTGACCCCTCAAGTTCAAGTTCATTTCCCAACCTACTGTATACATTTTTTTTCTATCTACAATAGCCATCTATTCTTTAGCCTTCAATCAGTTATCACTTAGCATTTAGCCAGTCACCCATCTGTGAGTCCCTGATTTGATTAAATTCCTCTTACTATAAGAACCTAAGACTTTTCTGAATATATAAAGTTTGCTAGAGAAACAATTTCTGGCTTATTGAGGGATTTCACATTAATATTTGTCTCCCCTATTTGTCTGTATAAGAGGTAGAGATAAAGTTTGTCTTACATACAGTCTTATTCCTTGGTCCCATTACAGTGCCTAGCACATGGTAGGTGCTCCATAAATATTTGTGAAATGAATAAATGAATGATTGGGTAGATGAGTGATGATTCTTTCTTATAGGTACTGTGTGGCAGGCTAACTCTTGGATGCTTGTGCCTCACCCCTGATTGAATCTTGGCTTCAGAATCTTTGATGCTTCATTGAGAAGGCATAACGGATAAAATGGACATTAGAACCTGGAAGGACCAGAACAGAACTTTTATGCAAACTGTTCCTTTTTACTGAGAAATTTATTTGCCTAATTTGGATTTGTGTATATACACAAAAGGACATATATAAAAGGGAAAATAGCTTTCTGGAGAAACTGACTGCTAGAGAATTCTACTCTGGGCCACAAGGTAAAAGTTGCACCTGAGCAGACTTTTTTTTCTTTTCTTTTAAGATTTATTTATTTACTCATACAAGAACTGGGGTGTGGGCCAGAGATGCAGGGGTGAGAGGACTCACCAGAGACAGAGTGGGGAACAGAACAGGCAGATCTACTGAAACACACTGCTGAGGGAAGCAGGGGGTGAGACAGGAGAGGTCTGCTGTGCCCTGTGGGTGATCTCCCTGGCCAGAGATGGAACTCATGCTGCAGTGGCTGGTGACAGTTTGACAGCGCTGACTTTAACCCCTGTGCCACCAGGGAGGCCCTAAGCAGATGTATTTCATCAGAAAAATGCTATTTTTCAAGGACAGGATTGGCCTGGGGTATGCTGGCAAAGTTATTATTCTTGTGTTACTATGTGTGAGTTCTTGCTTGAGTATCTCAAGGTGCCAGGCTCATGCCATGCTGTTTTATCATAGTCAAGAGGTATCCTGGGGCTCCCAGCACAAACAGAGCAGCCTCAGAGCTGAATAGCACCAGCGTGGGGAACGGGGGAGGTGTCTGCCCTACTCTGCAAGCAACCCAGCATGCTCCAAAACTGCAGAAGTGACCTGTTTGGGGAACTTGGGTGTTGACCCCTTTAGGAGTTCTGTGGAAATTGTCAGTAGGGTCAAAGGGGATACTTTTCAACCCATTAAGGGAGTGGGGGGACAGATGGTCACTGCAGAGGGACTGCACCTGACAGCCAGGTGGATGAGCTAGCACAGGCTCCCCCTGAGGACTGGCAGAGGTGAAATGCCCTGAAATACCTGGGGTGTGCTAGATAGTCAGAAAGGGAGCAGGAGAGTCGGGTGGGTCATTGCTATCAAAGGGACTTTATTTGTAGTCACAGCCTGAGTAAGCCTGCTGATATCTGGGTTAAAAATGAAGGGATTTATAATGTGATTTTCATATGATAAATGACATTTCTGAGAAGTCACTCATTCTCTATCTGTATATGCTCACACTGGGCAGTTTTTGGACACAGTCATGCTGGAGTAACCATTTTGTCCCAGTTTTCTCAGGACTTCCCCCTCATACTTTCTTACTTCATGCTGGGAAGACCACACAGAGACTCTTAACATAGCAAAAACAATAATGTTTTCCCTTTAGAATATTCAGAATCTACAAAATAGCAAAGATATTTCACTAAGTTCTCTTTCAAATTGTGCCCCTGAAGCTAAAAATGGACAAAAGAGAGTTCTCTGAGGCTGCTGTTCTCTATCTACCATCTATCTATGTATCTATCTTTATTGACTTCATACTTGATTTTCTATGATGAATACAGCTTTGTTCTATATTTCCTTAGTAATAAAAAAATTAATAATATAATATAAAAGGTTAAAAAACATTTATATAAATGAAGTCTCCAATCAGAAAATATGTTTGTTACAAACCGTGTCTTGAATTTTCGTTCTTAGATTAGGATCATAATATCACTAAGATAGTCAAATCCTTAACAATGGTACAGTGACAACCCCCCCCCCCAATAAACTCCCCATAAAGCCAAAAAAAAAAAAAAAAGCGATGAAAGGTAAGGAAGATAAAGGATTCTACTGACACTTCTTTATTCCAAAGATTCCTCAGCAGAAACTGTCCTAGATGACCTGGTTCTTCGCTCTTGGTGTTAGACAGAAGGATCCGTTGAATTCCTCTGCTGGAACACAGGACGGTGGGGTTGTAGGGCTAGCCATCCAGGGAGAGGGCACATCTTCTTCCCCCAGGCAAATTGAGAAGATGAGAATTAATCCACCAAGGGCCAGGAAAATACCAGCTGCCCAGCCCAAGTAAAGGGCATCTCCAAATTCCCACCGAGGCACAATCTCAGGAATGCTGTCATCCCAGAAGTCTTGGATTGTGGCATGGGCCACCCAGGAAACTGGAAAGAGGGTCATGGCTGATGCTGATGTCTCCAATGTTCCCCCAAGAAGGCAAAGTCGCCTCTTAAGTACCCATCTGATTCTGCGAAACTGGAAGCATTCGGACCCAAGCCCAGAAAGCAGAAGCCCCAAAAGTCCCAGCCCATGGGAGGTCACCATGAGGATGCGGGATACCTGGAGCTCCTGGGGCAAAGATAAGAAGGAATCAAAGGCCTTGCACACAGTGGCAACTTCCTCCTGATTCACACAGACCTCCCAAAGTCCCATGCCCCAGGTCTCCATCTCGTTCAGTTCCAGATTGAGAGTCTTCCACTGTGGCAGGATGGTGGTGACACATGAACAGACCCAGCCGAGGAGGGAGAGGAGCAGGCCCCCCAGCTGGGCTTGTCCACGGAAACTCCAAGCCATGCTTGTGCCTACCACAGAGGCAGAAAGAAGAGCAGAAAGGGTGGCTTCTGGCTGGTGAGGGGGGAGTACTTTGGGGGAAGCTTGGGGGGAAGGTCTTTCACATTTGGAAGGGTTTTTGTCGCTGCTTTTTAGGCAGCAGCTGTCACAGGTGTTAGGAACTTGGCAGTGTGTGGTTTAAGAGGGTGTGCCCAATAGTGGATGTGGGTGTGGATTCTGGGGGAGGGTCCCATGAGAGGTGAAAAAAATAAAAGCCAGATGGTAAGTCTTTAATGTGTATTTGATGAATCAATTCATAAATTGAAAGTAATAATCAGTGCCTCATTGGTGGCACAAAGAGTTAAGCGTCAGCACTATGACACTATCTGCAGCCACTGCAGCAGGAGTTTGATCCCCCACCCAAGGAGATACCCACATGGCATGGCAGACCTCTCCTGTCTCACCCACTGCTCCCCTCAGCAGTGTATTTCAGTAGATCTGCCTGTTCCGCTCCCCACTCTGTCTCTTGTGAATCCTCTCACCTGCCCCCCACCGCACCTCTGGCCTGTACCCCAGCTCTTGTATGCATAAATAAATAAACTTAAAAAAAAAGAAAGTTATATTCAGGCCCCAGTTCTGAGAGGACAAGACTGATGTTCTGGGAACAAACACTGATGTATTATTTCTCATAGGACAGCAAGACTTCGTGTTTCATACTTTTAAATATACGATACATCTATTTCTTCTTTTTTTTTTTATATTGAGGTAACATTGGATTACAGCACTGTATATGATTCAGGGGAAAAGGGTTACACCTCCTCAGATGTAGATCACCACATCACAGCCACCACCAGAGCACCCACATCCGTTTATCATATACCGCTGGGCCCCGCCACTTTATTCCCACTCCCATCCCCTCCCTCCAATAGCCTCAATTGTGCAGTCATAATCTTAGGTTTTGTTTTGTCTTACTTTTGTCAGCTCCTTCGCTCAGTTACTCTATATTCCACATATGAATGAAATAATCTTGTACTTGTCTTTTGGTACCTGGCTTATTTCACTAAACGTTCCCTCCAGTTCCATACATGTTCAAATGGCAAGAGTTCAGTTTTTTTTTTTTTTTTAAGATTTATTATTCATGCATACGAGAACCGGGGTACAGGCCAGATGTGCGAGAGGGTGAGAGGATTCACCAGAGAAAGTGGGGAGCAGAACAGGCAGATCTACTGAAATGCACTGCTGAGGGGAGCAGCGGGCAAGACAGGAGAGGTCTCACGGCACGTGGGACTCTCCCTGGCCAGCTGGGAATTGAACCCGCGCTGCAGAGGCTGCGGACAGCTTCACAGCGCTGCTCTCAACCGCCTGCGCCACCAGGGAGGCACAAGAGTTCAGTTTTTTTGATAGCTGAATAGTATTCCCTAGTGTGTATGTACCACATCTTCTTAATCCCCTCATCAGTTGTTGGGCACTTAGGTTGTTTCTGTAACTTGGCTATTCTAAATAGTGTTGCAGAGAACACAGGAGTGCATGTAACCCTTTGAATTAATATTTTTGCATTCTTTTAATAAATACCAATTAATGGAATTAGTGGATCATCTGGTGGATATATTTTTAATATTTTGAGAAACCTCATTATTTTTCATAGGGGCTAGACCTGTCTACTTTCCCACCAACAGTATAAGAGGGTGATCTATTTTCATTTTTCTGCATGTGGCTGAACAGTTTTCCCAACACCATTTGTTGAAGAGACTTTCCTTTCTCCATTGTGTACTCTTGACTCCTTTGTTGTAGATTAACTGTTCATATAGATGTGGGTTTATTTCTAGGCTTTCAATTCTATTTCATTGATCAGTGTGTCTGTTTTTCATTCCAATACCATACTGTTTTAATGACCTTGTAATATAGTTTGAAGTCTAGGAGCATTAAACCTCCATTCCTCTTCTTTCTTGTCAAAATGCTTTGCCTATTCAGGTCTTTTGTGATTCCATATAAATTTCAGTAATGTTTTCTCTACTTCTTTAAAGAATTCCATTGGAATTTTGATAGGGATTTCACTGAATCTCTAAGTTATTTTGGGTAATATGGACATTTTGACTATGCTAATTTTTCCAGTTCGTGAAACAACACACATACTTTGACCCAGTATCCTACCCCCAACAATTTACCCTAATTTATCATCAATATATCCAAAATTTTATGAAAATGTCCATTGACATATTGTTAATAATTATACAGTTTGGTTTTAGTAGGCTGCCATTTTACAGAGATATAGAATAAATTTAAATGATATGAAACTATTTTTGATACATTAAGTGAAAAGGTAGGTGAGCAAACAATATATAATAGTACACAATTTCACTTTCATAAAAAAGTGCATACAACTGTATCTATATATAATCATATACCACAAAATATTGACCATGGTTATTTTAGTGGTCTGATTGTAGATGGTTTTTACTTCTTTATTGTGCTTATTTATGTATTTTATAAATTTTACAAATTTATCATCTAGTATTTTTGTAAGCAGAGGATAATTGAAAACCCCCAACTCAAGGAACCTATCCAGACCCAGAACGTAGCAGGAGGGACACATTCCTTCTTCAAGTCTCCTAAGGTTGCTCAGGCAGCAGCTATAAATAGCTATAACTATAAATACTACCTTCCTTCCTATTTGTTGTTGCTTTCAAGAAGCAGGTACTGACAACAAAGTAAATAATTTGCATTTACGAAGTGTGGCTTAGAGCCAGACTTTTGACTAAATACTTTATCCTTATTTAATTTTCACATCATCACTATACCATGTACATTAAGTAACTTGTCAAGGTTCCCCCGATGGTAAGCAACAGATCCAACTCCTGAGTCAAGTAACTCTGTGATATTTCATATTCTTGTCTTCAGGCCCCAACAGTGCTTTTTCCAGCACTGCTCCTGTACTCTGATGGTGCTGCATTCTGGTGAAGGTTAATCTTGATGCAAATCAAGAAGAAAATGGGAATTCTTATACCGAGCATCAATGTTTGAACAACACATAGTCACCAGTTCATATTTTAATGTAATGCATACCCTGTGCTACGCTTCAAAGCAAAAGCAGAGTCTTGGGAAGCATTTGAGAAACATCTATCTTGACTTTATCTGAATAAGTTCTTTTTTTTTTAAGATTTGTTTATTTATACAAGAACCGGGGTACAGGCCAGACATGCGGGAAGGTGAGAGGATTCACCAGAGACAGAATGGGGAATAGAACAGGCAGATCTACTGAAATACACTGTTGAGGGGAGCAGCAGGTGAGACAGGAGAGGTCTGCTCACCATGTGGGTATCTCCACAGCCAGCGGGGATTGAACCAACACTACAGAGGCTGTCATAGCGCTGGCTCAACCGCCTGCACCACCAGGGAGGCCCCTGAATAAGTTCTTAACACTTAAGCAGCCTGATTAAATGGTTAGTGGTGACTGGTGGAGAGAGGCAAGCAGAATCATCTGGAATTCTCCTTTTTTCTTTCATGTTTTAGTATAAAATATTTTAACTGTATACAAAGGTAGATCAAATGAGACAAAGAAATCTCATGTGTCATTGCCTAGTTTCAAAAATTATCCACCAAATCAACCTTGTTTCATCCATACCCATACCCACCGCTCTCCACCTCTCCCCTCATACTATATTGAAACAAAAGAGATGTTCTTTGAAATTGTAGGCTTCTGCTGCTGCTTTTATAATAACCACATGTTCTAATCAACATTATGATAAAATATGATGCACTATAGCAATGTTGTCTACTTATACTACGTCCAACCAAATTTTGACATTTGGCTTCCTGAATATGTGTGTGTTGCCCACAAAAAGAGGAATCCTTGCTGCTTATTTCCTTGCTTTTTCTTCACAGCACTTTCTTGATAATTTGTGGAAATCTATGAGTCAGGAGACTTATGAATCACAAGTATGAATTATGAAGAAGGACAAGTTATGGAGAGAAAATAAGTCCCATTCCTTTAATTTTGTTTTATTTTGGCAGGTATCCATGTAGGCCTTCATGGATTGACTGTCTCTGTATAGCAAACCCACCTCATTCCTGATGTCCTATCTTCTCCTTCCTCAACCTATTTCTGGTTCTCCCTGTCTTTTCCTAGAATTTGATGAACAATTTTGAGCTTATTCACCGACCTCTCCGCCCAGGAGAGGCAAAGGTCCTACAGTTGTATTTGTGGATATGCACAGACCTGTTTTCTGGAGGAAAATCCCAGATATCAACCTCAAAGTTGCTCTTTCTTTTACTCTTACTTCACTTGAGAGATTGGGTGCGCCTCATCCAAAATTTTCTCTGCTCTTTGTACCTTCCTGGAAGCTTCAGGTCCAGTTTCTCCACAAGTGTTTTCTACATAATTTTGTATTCATTATTTCATTTTATTTGACTTACAGTGTATTCTTCCTCCCAACAGCTCTATAAGACTTAAGCTTCATAAAATCTAGATTCGTCCCTCATTTACTTCCAAAATAGTGATTATCACATTTTACCCGGGATCCACATATTTTTGATTCCCATACCTAGCACAGTGTTTGTAGTAATTGCTAATACAAATTTCCAGGAATTTCATCTGCAGGTCCTGCTTTCTCACCAGACATTTACTATTCATAGCATTTAGAATTCAAAGTTAGTTAACGGGTCTACATACAGAAGTTGATTTGGTTTTCTAGGGACAGGTGCTTCCCAGGATGTTTTGGCTAATCTTTGTGCTTCTATCTCAGCCCCAGTTTCAGTTTCTCTGCTCATGTCAGAAGCAGCTGCCTTCCCCTCACTGTGCTAAGAAGACAATTAAAATAGACAAGGACCTTAGCATCAGTGTTAACTTGGGCTCCACGCTTACAAGATTACTTTTAAAAAATTAAAGAAACATTTGAATGAAAGCACTATATGTTTATTGCAGAAAAATGGAAAAACATAACGAAAGAGAATAAATAGTATGGGCCCACCACTCCTTTGGTTTTCATCCATTACCTCTGTGTACCTGATAGTTATTTTTAAAAAGG